ACGTGTTGTGTGTGTGTGTGTATGTGTTATATAGACATTGATATTATTATACATTAAAATCATATATTACTTAATATACTGTATAATAGTATTAACCAAAAAAAAAATTAGTAGACATTTATAATACAGTAGTACTGYATATGTATTGGATATTATAATACCAACCGTTGTTTAAGTGTTATAATTATATTATCGGTAAAAAAATTAATCGGTAAAATCAGTGACCAGTAACCACCAATGTATTCGGCGGCAGAGAATGGCCAGTACGGCACCGATGAATACGAGGGACAGGGTTTCGGCACATCGTTCAGTACTAAAGCCATTAGACTAGGTTTGTTGTATAATTGATTACCGGCGGGTGAGTGGGTGTGGATGACAGTAGTGGGGGACAGTGTGGGTGACGATAGTGTGGGTGACAGTGCTGGGGAACAGTGTGGGTGATAGTGTGTGKGTGTGTGATAGTGTGTGTGTGGGTGGGTGACAGTGTGTGTGTGTTTGTGTGGGTGACAGTGTGTGTGTTTGTGTGGGTGACAGTGTGTTTGTGTGGGTGACAGTGTGTGTGTGTGGGTGACAGTGTGTGTGTTTGTGTGGGTGACTGTGTGTGTGGGTTGGTGACAGTGTGTACCGGAGGTTATACCCCACACACCCACATATACCAACACACTGTTGTTAACTAATCCCCCTACCCCCACCTCCCTATTAAAAATTAATACTATAACTACTACTACTACTAATAATAATAATWATTATTATTATTAAGTTATTTAATTAAAATTTAATCTATTTTTTTGTTTTGTTTTATTAGTTTATTGTTAGGTTAATTTAGCAAGATCAATTTGTTTATGTTGTTGTTATTATTGGTTGTAATTTACAATTTGTAAATAACTATGTTATAYAATTAAATGTTTTTTAAAAATTATCTCAATTAAATGTGTATGTGTACTAGGTTACATTATTATTATTATTTAATAATTAATTTTTATTTATTAAAAAAATATTGCATTTAGGTATTTAGTATGCTATCAATTTACAGTATATATATATATATATAAATTTATTTWTAGTAATTAATTAWWTATATATWTAGTTGACAACCAGTTTTATTTTGTGTTAATATTTTTAATAGTATTTTATTTTTATTATTATTTAATTTTATTATTTTATCAATAATTTTTTTAGTTTCATATCATTGCCATCAAACAATTTTTTTAAATARCCAATCATATAATATAAATTAAATTAGTATTAGTAATCAATTTTCAAATTTATTTTTATCCTAGTTTATATAGTAATTATTATTATTATGTTAACAAATTTATTTAATTATTTAATTAAGCATTTAATTAATATACGGTATATAAATAAGTTAATGTTTCACTCACTTTCTATTAAATTAATATATCGTTAATAATTATAATAATAAAACTGCTATTTGTATATCAAAAATGTTTATATAATTAACTAAATTATTATTATTATATACTAAAATTTATTTTTATTGTTTTTCAATCGTTTCAATAGCTTTCATCCGCAAAGTCTATGGCATACTATCGGTTCAATTGATTATATCGTTGGGATTTATTTGTGTATTTGCTATACCGTTAGTATTTTATTTATTTATATATAATTATTATTAATTAAAAAAAAATTAACTAAATTTCATTTAAGATTTAATTTTATTTATTATATCATAAAATTTTATAAGTAATTATAACTATAAGGTATATATAAAAAAACATTACACATAAAAATAATAGTTATTTTTAAAAGAATATTCTTGTGATTTTGAAATCTAAAAAAAATTATTATTATTAGAAATTCTAATGAATTGTTTTATTATTATTTTCTTACATTTATTACTAAAACAAATATATAATTATTATTATTATTATTATCGTATAGTTAGATAAAACTATTGCTAATATTTTTATAATATTGATTTTTATGCAATTGTTGAATTAATATTTATTATTATTATTATTATTATTAATAGTAGATGATGTTAACTATGTAGTGGTATAGATATTTTATTATTATTATTTTTATTATCTAATAATTATAGTTTAATTTTTATTATTTTTTTCAATAGACATGAAACACACGTTTATAATTTAGCAATAGTTATAATACAGTATAAAATGTTACGATATATTTATTTATTTATTTTTACATATCATTATTAAAATATTTATTTAAATTTAGTAATTATAAAGTTTTAAAAGTTTATTATATATATATACAGTCGTCTTATATAATAATAATAATAAACAAATTTTTATAAAATAAATATTTATATATATATATATAATTTATATACAAAATTTACATTGATAGACAATTAATTTATCTAAATGTTTTACTATTTAATTGTTTATTACTTAACCTTTTTAAAAAAAATTTTAACCCAGGGAGGGTATGCGACAATGGTCACACCAGAATCTATGGGTAGTATGGGTTGCATTGTAAGTATACTTAATATTTGTATTTATTTAAAAAAAAACAAACAAAACATTACCGGTAATAAAATGATTACCGAAACCGATTATTATAACACAAACACATACATACACACACACACACACACACACACACACACACATTCATACACACACATACATAAATACATACATAAATACATACATAAATACATACATAAATACATACATAAATACATACATAAATACATACACATACACATACACACACACACACACACACACACACATTCATACACACACATACATAAAAACATACATAAATACATACATAAATACATACATAAATACATACATACATACACACACACACACACACACACACACACACACACACACATACATACATACATACATACACGCATACATACACACACACACACATACATACATACACATACACTCACACAAATACATACACATAAATAGACACTCATAAACACACACACATACATATACACACATATATATACTGTATATATATATATATATATATATATATATATATATATATATATATATATATATATATATATACATACACACGCAATAACCGATGTTTTTTTAATTAATACCTCCCGTTCCCCCTATCCTATCTGTATCTACTAAATAGTGGCGTAACATTGGTAACCATGATGGTTCTGGCCTGTTGCGGGGAACTCCGTCGCCAAACACCACACAATTACATTGCATTGATGATATTTACTGTGGCCGAATCCTTCCTCCTGGGTGTCATATCGTCCATCTATCAATACCAGATTGTATTGGCCGCTGTAGGCATCACAGCCGTAGTATGTCTGGCCCTGACATTGTTTGCCTTTCAAACCAAAATCGACTTTACCGTCTATAATGGGATACTGTTTGTCGGCGTTATTATCCTAATGTTGTTCGGGTTTGTCCTAATGTTTTGGCGCTCACAGGTCGCCCATCTGGTCTACTCATGTCTCGGTGCTCTACTATTTTCGGCGGTTAGTATTTTTAATTTATTTAATTAATTTATTTAGTTATTTATTTATAATACCCGCATATAGCCCCACCCCCACCTCTGACAAATTTTTTAAATTTAAAAATCAACATTTTGTAGGGGGGCTATATCTCACTTATTGCCCCAAATTTTCACATATAGTGGGGGCTATATGTTTTGGGGCAATAAGTGAGATATAGCCCCCCCTACCAAATTATGATTTTGAAAATTTTGAAAATTTGTCAGACGGGGGGTGGGGGCTATATGCGGGTCTATACGTTTAATATAGTAATTTTCATACCTATATATATATWWATAWATWTAATTATTCACAATTAATATTTAATTACTAGATTTATATACAGTATATTTAAAATTATATATTTACTTATAATACCTTTATTTTTATTTTTTAAAAAAAAATAATAATTATATATTGACTTTTAATTYAACATTTTTGTTTGTTTCACAAATTAAATAGCACACTAAAACCCTTTTTTTTTTTTTTTAAAAAAACATTTATCTCATAACTATTTTTTTCTAATTAATTATAAAAACAAAATTACTAATATTAATATTTTTACATCAATTTGATTATACATTTTTTTTGTGTGAGTTATTTTCAATTTATAATTAATTGATTTATTGTTTGTGTGTCTGTCTATGTATATGTGTGTGTGTGTGTGTGTGTGTGTGTGTGTGTGTGTGTGTGTGTGTGTGTGTGTGTGTGTGTGTGTGTGTGTGTGTGTGTGTGTGTGTGTGTGTGTGTGTGTGTGTATGTGTATGTGTGTGTGTGTAGTTATGTAATATATACAGTATATTACATATCATCATCACATKTGTTTAGTTATACTATTGATACTAGCTAATTAATTATATATTTATATACATAAAAATATATATAAAATTACCATGATAAATGTTTGTTAAATTGTGTGTGTGTGTATATATGTGTGTAGTGTTTATGTTTGCTTTTTTAAAATGCTAATTGTTTGCTTATTAGATTTTTAATTTTTGCACATTTTTTTTACTTTTAATTATTATTATAATACCTGTTATAATCTAAAAATTTAATATATATTTAWTATAATAGTAAATTTTATAATATAATTTGCCTAAATATTTATATAATTATTATTATTTGTTTGATTGTTAATTTATTGCATTTTTTTCTCTATCCGAACATACTGTCCACATGTATCACACATATATGTATGTATGTATGTATGTCCCGGTCACCTGTCTATCACACACATACACACATAAACAATACAAAACATCGATAATTGTGATGACCGATTGTCACCACCACTACCACCATCACCACCGATGATGACCCCCTCATTAAAAAAACTACTACTACTACTACTACTACAGTATCTGGTAGTTGACACCCAGATGATAGTTGGCGGCACCCATAATGTACAGGTGTCGTCCGAGGAGTATATATTTGCAGCCCTAACCCTATACATCGATATTGTTCAGCTATTTCTACATATATTGAATATCATCGCCTCCTCAAGTCGCAATTAAATAGATATATATAGACGCCTCCCAGTGTAAACTACTAACCCCTCACTTATCTCCCGCACCCACCCCACCCCTAATAAGATACTGTATTTATTCAATATTATATATTATATATTTGAGTGCAAACATCAAATTTAATGCAACTTTTTTTCTACATTAGATATATTGATATATAATTTTGTTTTTTTTGTGTTTTGCATTATTTTATTATTATATATTAATTATTATTATTAATAATAAATTAAATTTATTATTTAAAAAACAAAAAATGTAATTTTGTATTACCGTTTAAAAAAATAAGATATTTTATGTTGTTTTACTTATTGATTAAATTTTTATTTTTATTTTTAAAAATACAATATATTATACATTATTATTATTATTATTATTATTATACAATATATAAAAAAAATTAATTAAACGTATAAAATGTTTGAACAAATTTTTCCCATTTTTTTGTTGTTGAAAATAATTTCTATTTTTTTGCCAAATATTTTCCATTATTTTTAAATTAATTAATCAATCAATTGATTGATTGATTGATTGATTGATTAAATACATTATATATATAATTCATACATTAAATAAACATAAATATTATATATAATTCTCATCAATGAATATGTATTAAAATAATTATTTTAAAAATTATAATACTATGATATTTATCATAAATATAAAATATTTAAAAAAAATCATTAAAAATAAATTAATTGTTTTGTCATCATCATCATCATCATTATTATTATTATCAATTAATGACCATGATAATTTTTTGTTGTTGAATTAATAGTATCTAGTGGTGGACACACAGATGATAATGGGCGGCAGCCATAAGCTACAGGTGTCGTCCGAGGAGTATATATTTGCATCGTTGACACTATACCTGGATATGGTCAACATATTTCTGTATGTCCTACAGATAGTGGCCGCTGCCAGCAATGATGGTTAATAACCCCCTCACACCCCCCACCACCACACCCCGCGGGTAATAATAATAATAATAGTATCGGTAATTATTTTTAAAAACAGCAATAATATTGTTGTCTATGGTATAGACATTAAGCTATTAAAATTGTGTGATTTATTTATTTATTTTTTTTAATAGTAATATTAATTAGGTATAACAATGTAATGGTATTATTAGTCAATATGTTTTATTATTATTATTAGTAGTAGTAGTAGTAATTGTGATATTATCAATATAATAATTGTGTGTGTTATTAGCTATAATTATATATTATTCAATAAGCTTATAATTAGTATTATATATATATATATAGTATTATTATTTTTTTAAATTACAAATTATATAATACTCTAAACGAAAAAATCTAAGTCAAAGTAAAAAGCAGTATTATATATATACAGTATATATAAATAATAATAATAATTATTATTATTATTAACCAATATTGATAAAATTAAGTGTCAATTTTTTTTTATTATTATAATACTATTGATAAATATGTAAAGTATATGTTTCTTAATATTGATATTTTAATACTATCGGTACATTAAATGTATTGTAATTTTTTTTAAATTTAATTTATGTGTGTTATTATTATTTTTAAAAAATTATTTTTGAAACAAATAATTAATACAGTTTAATTAAATAACTATTGTTATTATTATATGCAATTAATTAATTGAAAGTTATTAAAATAATTATATATTAAATAATTTATAATATTATTGACGTGTTTGTTGTGTTTATCACTATTCAATATAATACTGTATTAATTAATTAAGTAATAATTAATAGTTTTTTTTTTAAATTGTATACTTATTTATTAATTGATGTAAATTTCTAATTATAATTGTTTTTTAAAAAATATTATATATTTGCATATATACTTATTAAATGTAATTAAATCATATTTTTGTTAAATAAAAAAATTTGTGTGTGTCTATAAATAATATATACTGTATATGTTTGACTAATAACTTTTAAAAACTATTATATTTTTTGCATAATTTACTAAAAACACATTTAAATTAAATTATTAATCTAAATTATCATAGTTATATAGATATATATATTTTATTTTATCATGTTAAAATTAATAATTGGTAAAAATAAAAATTGTAAAAATTGTAAATATTATTCAAAAAAAAAATAATTTTCTATCAATAGCTACTTTAAAAATATTTTATAGTTAAGTAAAAATAAAATATTAATAATATATTACATTATTATTATTATTATTATTAGATATATTTATTATATATATATAATATTTGATGTATAAATATCAACAATAAGTCCATCAACAATTAGCCCAGTTGATTTTTTCCCCTATCAAGCTATTGACATTAATAAAATTAAAAACTATCATAAGTTATTATATTATTAAAATAATTATAATAAAAAACAAACAATTTTATACATGCATGTTTATTAATAAATAAAAACTTTATTTAAATTATTTTTTTAATTTTTGTTGTTTTATAATTAAATTAAAATATAATAATAATAATCAGCTGAGTGTTAGACTAAAATAAATTATATATATTACTTGAATAATAAAACAAAATTTAAATAAAATATATTAAATAGAGAAAAAAATTAATAATATAAAAAAATTTAAATTTTCTAAATAATTTTTTTTAATAAAAAAAACATAAATTTCAATATTTTTTTTGTGAATTATTTAATCATCTTTATCTTTATGATTATTATTTAAAATATTATCATTATTTCCATTGACTAAATGTTTTGATAAATAATTTTTTTTTAAATCTGATTTTTTATTATTATGTGGTTTACCTTCAATAGTGCCATAAGTCGATGCTTTTGCTATACGAGCCGATCGTATAGCAAAATATATGCCAACAAAAACTATATATTAAATTAAATTAATTAAATTAAATCAAAAATTATTAACTAATAATTTAATTACCAGTAATTATAAGCAACGATGCGATAATGATTGTCCCGACACTACCCGACGTAAACACTGTAAACAATATATAGGCCAACGATAGGCCAAACACTACGAAATTAGTCCATAAAACTATTAGCGGTATTAGACTGGGCTTATGTAGCTGTTTTTGGCCCGGAAATTGTTTATGTTGGAAATAGTAGTCCATTGCATCGTCCTATTTAGGGTCATCCCATCAACAACAACAAAAAGTTCAATTAATCAATTGGTTGGTCTCATTGTTTTGTGTCTGTCCTAACCTTTTCCTGGTATAACTTATACAAATAGTCGGCCGTTTGTTGGTCACTATCGGTTGGTACGTCCGCAATGGGTATGCGCTTCAAATAGACTGATCCGTTCATCGGTATACCTTTGATCAGATTGGATATACTGATCACTTCCCGAGTTTCGTCAAATGCCAGCTGTAGGTTATAGATAGCACAGTTGGGATCTAATAATAATAATAATAATAATAATTGGATGATAATATTGGGTTTCATTTAGTTTTTTAAATATTCAAATTACTGGTGAAATAGAGAGAGAGAGAGAGAGAGAGAGAGAGAGAGAGAGAGAGAGAGAGAGAGAGAGAGAGAGAGAGAGAGAGAGAGAGAAAGAAAGAGAGAAAAAAGAGAGAAAGAAAGAGAGAGAGACAAACAGAGAGACAAACAGAGAGACAAACAGAGAGACAAACAGAGAGACAAACAGAGAGACAAACAGAGAGACAAACAGAGAGACAGAGAGACAAACAGAGAGACAAACAAAGAGACAAACAGAGAGAAAGAAAGAGAGAAAGAGAGAGAGAGARAGARAGAGAGAAAGAAAGAGAGAAAGAAAGAGAGAAAGAAAGAGAGACAAACAGAGAGAGAGCTCACACACACAGACATACAGTTTTGTTTGAGATGTTTGACCGAATAGGCAAAACCCTTGACTCTGGGCAACAGATGATGCCTGTAGTGGACGTCCAGACCCTTATCGGCGGCAAACTTCATACTTGTCCGGTATTTCTGTTCGGTAAATCGGGTACCTTCGGCAGCAATCATCAACATTATCGGCCGCTGGTGGGCCATCAGCCGGTCCAAACCGTGGCCAATGTTCAGGGAATCACGTTGCCAGTTGCGGGCCAGAAATATATATTCGCCAAACATGAACGACCAGCCAATAATCGGTACGAATCGTAGTTCGCGTTTACCGAATGCCTTACAGCCGCCAAGTGTCCCGGTTTTCGCGGCAATCATCCACAAGAATACGGCATCGACTTCGTACCGATGGTTGGCCACTACGAAGGCATGTTCGCGGCCAAACTGATCAAGAGTTTGCTGATCGCCGAAGTAGAAGGTAATGGTGCTGTGCGACCACCATTCGGCTACGGCTACCACCTCTTTGATTGATTGATTTGTTAGATATGATTATAAATTATAATTATTAATAATTTTTTGTTTTGTTTTAATTAATACTAAATTAAGTAATAATAAGTTATATATATATATATATATATATATATATATTTATATATATATAGAGAGAGAGAGAGAGAGTACTGAGATTTTCAAAATCTATAATAAAAATTATTTAATTAATATTTAAAAAAAAAATAAATCCTTGAATTTTATTTTAATTATACGATATATTATTAAATAGTATTACATTTATATTAAAAATATTACTTTCATTTTATATATAAGATTTTTTTTTTAATAATTAATAACAGTGTTGTTATTCATATATATATATTGCAAAAACTATATATATATAATATATGTTAGTAGTTATATATTTATAATTATATTTAATTAAATAATAATAAATTAAATTAATAATAATAATAATAGTCAACTTACGGGAGTAAATAATATATTGAAGATATCCATTGATTTGTCGATAGATATCAATATTAATGAATCTAATGGTCAGATAATTGATTAGTTGTAATAGATTTACACATAAACTGCTAATGAATATAATGAATGCCGAAAATCCCATAATTAGGATGTCTTTAATATTTAAGTTATTTAACATTTTTTTATAAAAAAATAATAATTAATTTTAATTGTATATCAATAACAACACAACAACAGCAAAAATATCACAATATTATTAATTATTTATAAAAAAAAATAATATCAATAATAATAATTATAAAAAAACAACATTTAGTTAATATTAAATTGTTATTAATATAACAAAAAATTTATATAACATCTAGTAATTGAAGGAAAGTTTTTTTTTAAAAAAAAACTTTAATATTTATTACATTTAAATTAACTTTCAATTATTGAACTTTATTAATATAAAAAAAAATTTTAAATTTGAAAATTTTTTCAAAATACTAAATACATATAAATAATTTTTTTCCCGTAAATGTGTTTTAATTAATTAAAAATATCACACAATTTACGGTTTTTATAAATAAAATAATTTCTTTAAACTATTTTTTTTTATATAGACAACACTTTGAGATTAATAACACTTTTTTTATTATAATAATAATTTAATTTATTAATAACTGATTTTTTTTATTTAGAGAGAGAGAGAGAGAGAGAGAGAGAAAGAGTCAAAGTTTAAAATGATAGGAAAWTTTTCATTACTTTTTCAACAAAAAAAAATTAAAAACTAAAATAATAAACTTTGAATTTTTAAAAATATATATAATTTTATGTAGAGATTAAAGTTTAGAAAATATATTTATCATACGATAATGTATTGATACACTTGTAGTATATATACAGTATGATCACCATATGATTACATAGCCTAACATTTTTTAAGTACAGTAATAATAATAATAATAATAATAATAATAATAATAATAATAATATAAACTATAAACTTGTATATTAAGTATTTATTTTATAATTATAAATAAATATAATTTAGTGTTRWATTATTGAATTGATTCAAACACAAAAAAATTGAACAAGTTCAGTTTATATAAATCTATACTGTATACTGTATATTGAAAACATTTTTATGCGTAATATTTTATATGATGACAAACAAACAGTTATATTATTTTAAAATTTTCAAATTATCAAATTAAATGTACTTTTTCCAACTATCAAGGTCATATTTTTATTTTTGTTGATAACACATAATGTGTTATCATCATAAAAATATTATCAATTAATTTACTGTTATTTACTATTTATTTTTAAATATAAAAAATTCATTGTCAATATTATACTAACTTATAATTTATTAAATCAATTAATGGCAATACTGTAGTAGTAATTTATAAGTATTATTATTATTATTATTATTATTATTATTATTATTAGTAGTAGTAGTAGTAGTAGTAGTAGTAGTAGTAATAATAATAATAATAATAATAATAAAATAATAATAGAAGTAACGGTAGTTTATAAAACTTTAATAACTTATTATTGATAAATACTGTATAATAAATTGCATATAAATTAAATTTTAAAAAATAACAATTGAATATAAAATAATGAAAATTATAATATTTTTATATTACCTAGATCAAAAATTATATAATAATAATTTTTTTTAAATCATAAAAAATATAAATTTGTATAAAATAAATGTATTTTAATCAATTGTAATCATCAAAAAAAAACTAAATTTTTAAAAATATATATTTTACAGTAATATATATATATATATATATATATATAATTTTGTTGTTGATATATTGGTTTATGTTTTTTTTAAAAATGTTATATGTATAACATTTTTAATACTATATATATATATATATACTGTAATATATATATATTTAAATTTTTATATATAAACTATTTAAATATTTATTTTTTAAAATTTTTTAAAGGTTTATATTATTTTATTGTACTATATCTAGAAAAAAAATTGAAAACTCATTTTATTCAAGAAAAAAACTAATTAAAAATACATTAATCAACAAAAAAAAACTTTTAGAGAAACATTTCATATCCAAAAAATTTCATTTTTTTGTGTCCAAACATATCTCATAGTTTTATCAATACATTAGTATTATATGTGGTTTGGTGTGGAGGAGGGGGCTRTGCGACACATATCATCAGCACACGTGTTGACAGTTTTTTTTTATAAAAAAATAGGACGAAAAGGAGGTTACAGGAGAGCACAGGGAGTCAGTGATGGACATAGAGGGAAGTGGTGTCACAACTAATGTGTTGATGATATGTATACAGTTTGAAGTATAGTTGCAAATAAATAAAAGTGACTTTAAATTTTTATTATTAATACGATTATTATTATTATTGTTGTTATTATTGTAAATACATATATTTTTGAATTAAAATTGATTTATTTTTAGGGGCAAACATCTGGTAAAACACTTAACCACTGTATGTACGATACATACATATAACACATACATACATATTTACACACACACACACACACATACATATATATGTATACATACACACATACATACACACACACACATACATATATATATATATATAAATGTATACATACACACATACATACACACACACACACACACACACATATATATATATATAAATGTATACATACACACATACATACACACATACATACATACACACACACATATATATATATATATCGATATATACAGTACATATATATATACATACACACACACATCAAAAGTCAAAAAGCAATGACATGAAAATGTTTAGCAAAATAAAAGAAGAAAAAAAAAGTTTTTCAACAATTTTTCTGTTTGTTTGTTTGACAACAAAACTTAACCGACACTTAAATAATTTATATATCATTTTTAAAAATATTTGTATGGTTTGAATGGTTTGAATGGTTCATAACATAAATTTGAAACTAAATTTGTTGTTTAAATATATAAATATATTTTTAAATTTATAAATGGATTATATTTGTGATAATAATAATTATATTATCGATGGCGGGGGCGTCGGCTGCGGTGGCGGCTATACATTGAATTTGTGTGACCAGATTGCCGATCATCTAATCAATAATAACAGTCGTGTCAACGGTATGGACAGCAGCAGCAGCGACACCGTGACCGTAGCCGATAGCGGCTATGATGGTTGCGGTGGTGGCGTCGGTATCGGTAATATACGTAAAGAGCGGACACTGTTCAGCAAAGAGCAATTGGATGAACTGGAAAGACAGTTCTCTCAGCACCAGTACCTCACAAGACTCAGACGCTATGAGATGGCTGTCCAACTAAACCTAACCGAAAGACAAGTATATAAAAAAATATTTTTTTATTAATAATAATTATTTATTAATATTATTTAATAATTATTATAAATATTTTTTTTCATGTATATATTGATATAATTAAAAAATAATAGTTTTTTTGTGGTATATATTGTTATAATTAAAAAATAGTTTTTTGATTTGTGGTATATATTGTTATAATTAAAAAGTAGTTTTTTTGGTGATATATATTGTTATAATTAAAATTATTTAATTTATTTTTTTAATAATAAACTTTTGATTTTTTTGTTTAAACAGATTAAAGTTTGGTTTCAAAATAGACGGTAAATAATTAATTAATTAATTAAAATTTTTTGTTTAGAAAATTAAATGATTTATTAATTTTATAWATATATTTTTAGATATAAATATTAATTAATTGTTTTTTCTTTATTTTATTTYTGTTAAGTATGAAAGTTAGACGACTGACTGATGAAAATGCTATACAAAAATCAAATCAATTATAATTATTAATACTTATAATTAAATAAATAATAATTATTATTTTTAATTAGATAATAAAAAAGCAAAAAATTTTACAACATATTTGAATGTGTATAATGTTTGAAAAAAATTATGATTTTAATAAATTGTATAATTTATTTATAAAATAAAAAATAAACTATTAGATGGACATATTTTCCAATTTAATAATTATTGTAAAATTATTTTTACATCAAATAAAATATATTATATTAAAATTTACAGTCTATAATAATTATTAATAATTATTTTTATTAAACTAATCAATATATAAATAGTAGTTAACTGTATATATATTTTTTAGTTTTATTTTAATTAAATATAATGTTTAATTTATTTTCATATATATATATATATATATATATATTATAATTAACAAGTACAATTTGTTAACTAAGGTAAAAATAAAATAAAAATTTATTATAATTCTATAAATTAACAAAAAAAAATATTATTAATAATTAATAATTAATTTTTTTTCATTAATAAACATTTGATTTAAATGTTTTTGTTTTTTAGATTAAAGTTTAGTTTCAAAATAGACGGTAACTAATAATAATAATAATAATAATATTTTATTTAAAAAATTAAATGATATTTATTTTTTTTAAAAGAATTTTAAATATATATATTTTTTAGATAATATTAATTAATTGTTTTAATTATTATTATTTTTTTTGTTAAGTATGAAAATTAGACTACTCACTGATAAAAATGCACTAGATAAATTAAAATCAATTATAATAAACTTATAATATAAWATAATTAATTAATTWAATTTAKAAATCAAAAATTTTTATTGATACATATCTTAATGTAACCAATGTTTAAAAAAAGTGTATAATTTATTTTTTTTTAAAATTAGATCTAATTGTTTTCCTTTTTAAAAATTATTACTAATTATTTTTTACATAAAATATAATTTATTATATATATAATTTACAGTCTATAATTAGCAAATGTTAATATATTGATTTTTTTATATATACAGTATAAAATTAATCAATATTAATAAACTATATTTATCATTTTATTTATAGTTTAAATTTTAATTAAATAAAATGTATAATTTATTTTCACAYATATATATATATATATATATCATAATTAATAATTACAATTTGTTGATAGAGATACAAAAATTATCAAATTTAATATATTATAATTATTGTATAAATTATTCAATATTAATAAAAACAATATAAATAATTAATAATAATTTTTAGTTTTATTAATAATTAAATAAAATGTATAATTTATGTTCACACACACACATATATATATATATCATAATTAATAATTACAATTTGTTAATAGAGATACATAAAAATTAAATTAAAATAATATTACAATTATTGTATAAATTAGCAAAAAAAACATAAAAACAATTTAATAATTAATAATTATTTTTAGCCAAAACTTGTCGACTAGTTTCGGGTAAATACTGTTTGAATGGTACCAACAATTCAAACAATTGYCGGTCACTATCGGTAAGTWTCATATCGCTTAGTACTTCAATAAATACATCGATATAATTGGCCATTGCCTGGGACTGGGACATATCGCGGCACTTTGTCCAGGCTGACCACTTATATTTGCCGACCAGATCGTAGAAAGCGGGTTTCGGCGATCGGTTATTACCATCRGTTGCCTGTTTATAGTAGGCATAAAATCTGAGCCGTAGTTCATCCGTTGGTTTAAAGTGACCAGATTTCGGTAGATTACGTATAACATGGACRGCCCGGGCAAACTGGTCGGCAATAGTGGCCATATTATCATCGGCGGCGGCAGTAGTGGCCATAATATAAGTCAAACACACACACAAACTATCAAAAAATATATTTAAAAGTAAAATATTTTTTTCCCAATAAAATAATTTTTTAATTGAAGTTTTTTTTTTGGTTGTTGCCTTCAATTTGATTGTAATTTCAATGATTTCAATACAAACAAACACTTAATATATTCAATATGTAATCATTTAAAAAAAAAAATTAAAAAAAACTTTTTCAAACAAAATATATGTTCAAAAATTTTTACACTAATTTTCTAGAATAAAATAAATAAATTTTAACAAAAAATCATTGATTTTTATTAAAAAAAAAATATACTGTAAATACTTGACAAACAGTTTGTTTTTTTGTTGTTGTTGTTGATATAAATCAAAATAAATAGTTAATTAAAAATTATTATAATTTTTTTTATATACACCATATTTGTTGTAATAATTTTTTTGTATTTAATAGAGTAGTAATAATGAGTTTACAAAATTTATTTTGTGAACTAAATATTTTTTTTCATACGATATAAACCTCATAATAATAATTATTATTATTATTAAATTAGATATATATTACTTTTTGTGTGTGTGTGTGTGTGTGTAAACAAAATTACTAAAACAAATTGAAATTTTTAAATTAAAAAAAGGTATTAATATTTAGATGTTAAATGTTATGTAACTATAAATGAAATGAAAAAAAAAATTGTATTTTAAATACTATTTTTAGCAAACAATAAGATAAGAAAAATTAAAATAAAATTTCTTGACATAAGTTGTTATACAACAACAACTACACAACGAGAGAGAGAGAGAGAGAGAGAGAGAGAGAGAGAGAGAGAGAGGATCTACCGGTCCTTATCTGTCCTTTAATTTATTATCTGATTTAGTGGGAAACTATTTGAGGTGTTAGATGGGTAGGTATGACGGGGGGGGGGGGACAACCACTGATGTTGAGGTCAGTTAGGTTTATGTGTTATTTTTTGTTGGTGTATAGCATACCAAACGCAAGGTAGGTCTCAATATTATTTACAACAAATAGTAAAAACTTTAGTTAAACAAAATAGTTTGTCATTGAAAATAAGTTTATATATCAATATATATTAGATATTAAAAATTACAACTAAATAAAAAAATCGTATAATTTCTAGTTTTAATAAAATTAAATAGTTATACATATTTTTTTATAAAAAAAACTTTGCATTAATTTTAATTTTCTAATTAATTAAACTAAATATTTTTTTTTGTATCCCTGAGCTTATCTAAAATTATTATTATTTTTTAGTAACTTGTTTTTCTATTTAAAGTGTTAGTAATGTATTTAAATAATACTGTAATAAAGAAAAACTACTAATAATTTATGCATCAATAAATACAATGTCTATAACTTATCTATTATTTTGAATTTATATATATATAATCTAATATTTATTTTTAAAATACTATATATAATATATTTTAAAATTTTTAGATTTTTAAATAAATAAATTTAATATTTCAAATATATTAAGCAGAATATATATATATATATATATATATATATATATATATATTTAAAAATAACTATTTTTTAGACTAAAATTTTTTTAATACATAAGTTAAACAATTGTAATAACTAATTTATGTTTAATAATTTTACACTATTTTACACAATATTATATGATTATTATATTTAGTTACAGTTTTAGAAAATTAATTACTATATTATATTATTTAACTAAAAAAATTAACTAATAATAATTTATTAATAATAAATTATTATAAATAAATAATCAATTTATTTTAATTGTTTGAAATTGTTTGTTTTTTTTGAAAAAAATTAATTATTATATTATATTATTAAACTATTAAATTAACTAATAATAATTTATTTATAAATTATAAATAAATAATTTACATTAATTTTAATTTAATATATATATATTTATACATTGTCAATTTATATTTATCTAGTATCTAATTATTATAATAAATATAATTACAAATTATAATTGATTGTATTTTTTAAACTTTTAATTTTTTTAGTTTTTAAAAATTAATTATAAACATAAAACTATATATATACAAAAAAAATTAAAAACTTTATTTTCTATACATATTGTTGAGGACATTATTTATGGTTTTATATATATACTGTAATAAATTACATCACAATGTAGTGTAGAGTTGATGACATCATTGAATAAAAAAAAATAAACGTAATTTTTGAATTAAAAATCCTATTTAACTAGTGATGTGATTACAAAAAAAATAAAAAAAATTGTTAGTAAAATAATTTAATGCATTTTATTTTTTTACTAAATTTTTTAAACAAAAATTTTATTATTTAATAACCTATGTAAAATATCTATTTAATTTTTAAAAAAAAATAAAATAAAGTGTATCTTCTATTTTTTATAGCAAAAAAAAATATTTAATATCTATTAAAACAATAAATATTTCATTGTAAAACTCATAATAAATATATAGAATTTATTGTATAAAAAAATAAATGATAAATTTAGCTAAAAAAATATTAATTATTTTTATTGGTTATATATATATATAATTTTAATTAATATTAATTTTTTTTATTATGAAATTAAATATTTAGGATCATTTTTTTATTTTTAAAAAAAAATTATTTATAATTAATTTATAATATTGAAAAACAAAAATTAATAATATAATTTATAATAATAATTATAAAATAAATAAAAAGTTAAAAACATATTATTGACGTATTTTTTACGACACTAGTTATATGTCTAGTACTGTACAGGTATTACAGTAACTAAAATACTATCCAAACATTTAGTGTTGTATTAAAAAAAAATATATTATTATAATTAATAATAATATTTATTATTAACACATAAAACAAACCATTTGTTTGTTATTATTAGTCAATCAATCAATCAAATTGACCGCACGTTTTGTGTCCACACAATTAAAAACACCGTTTTTTTCTGGTGGACACAAACAAACAGTGAGAATCGGGTCCTCTGACTGACCACACAATTGCCGAGATTGTTGACCAAACCATATCATCCATCAGCAGCTGATCCATCACTACTACCAACCAATCAATCAATCAATTCAATTGTGTGGCCACTTATAGACTTCATATATATATCGCGGGTAAGTCAGTGGTCGGGTGACCGCCGCCGCTAACAACACAACCAATTGATCCCATAATTATTGATATGATATTTTGTTGGACACTATAGTGACTATACCTGCAGGAGATATCATATATATGAATTCAATGGCATCGTCGGGAGGCCACTATTCACGGCCACTGCCGCCGCCTCCGCCGCAACCGCCGTCGTCATCGTCGCCTATGATGGCCACCAATGCTACGCACGTGATGCGAATAATGCGCGATTTGCGCGAGTTTTACAAAGAGAACAGTCAGGACATGTACGCCGTGGCCGAAGACGACGACATTACAAGAGTTCATGCATTGATTTTGGGACCAAACGGTACGCCATATGAAAAGGGATTTTTCTACTTTACGCTTATGTATGTATTGATTGATTTATTTATTTATATAATATATGTCTTTGAATGTCATCTTTTAATGTCTACTTTTGATGTCCGACTATGATATAGCTATCCGACTAACTATCCGATTAAGCCGCCAATTGTTAAGCTGATGACCACTGGCGAGGGTAAAGTCCGATTCAATCCCAATTTGTATGCTTGCGGTAAAGTTTGCCTAAGCATTCTGGGCACCTGGTCGGGTAGGTTATACACATACACATATCTACACACACACACACACACACACACACTCATACACACACTCATACACACACACATACATACACACATACATACACACACATACATACACACACATACATACATACATACACATACATACATACATACACACATATACATACATACACACATATACATACATACACACATATACATACATACACACACACATAGACATACACACACACATACACATACAAACACACACACACACATACAAACACACACACACACATCCACACACATACACATACACACACATACACACACATACACACACAKACACACACACACACACACACATACAAACACACACACACACACATACAAACACACACACACACACATACACAACACACACACACACACATCCACACACATCCACACACACACACACACACACACACACACACACACACACACACACACACACACACACACACACACACACACACACACACACACACACAAACAAACACATCCATACACACACACACACTGCAAACACACACATTAACTTTGAACTTTAATAACACTTAAATAAACAAATTTGATATCAAATGAAAGAACACTTTTCAAAGTTTATAAGTCAATAAATAAAACATTAATTATCACACACACAAAAAGCATAAGAAGTAAGAAATGGTAAAAAAAGTTATGTACAAAAAGTATTTTCGTGAAATCAAAACTTTAAATATTATTAACAAAATAAACTATTAATTTAGTAAAAACACACACACACACATCTTCTTGGAACACTTTGGATCAGCTTTTCTGTGACTTCTTCAGGTATATTTTTCCACACACACACACACACACACACACACAATTTTGATGTGTGCTTTGGGTCGTTGTCCGCTTGAAATAAAAAATCACACTTATTTGTAGATCTCTGGCACACAAACAAAATATCACACACACACATACCATAACTGATTTCGACACACACACACACACGTTTAGTACTAATAATCTCAATTTTGACTCACACACACACACTTTCGTGCACACGCTTATTTGACGTCTAATCGTTTTCTCTGATTTGTTAGGCTTATCATTGGACGTCTTCGCGCAATACCACTGTAATAACCCATTTCTTGAATCCGGTGTCTAATACACACAAAACACATCTCATCGGTGGTCAACTTCTTATTTTTTGCCACAATTCGACTCAATATCCTGTCCTGTTTAGCACTGGTACACACACATTTCTAACTGTCCCACACATCGGACAGTATTATCAGTTGTTGTAAACACACGTATGACACTCTCATATCATACATTTGTTGGCGAATTGCATCTGAAAATTCTTGTATTTTAACCATTTTTATGATAATCACTGCATTTACACGTGTATTCAAATTAATAACAATGCATTGGAATCAACAACAATGTGTCTGAAATCACGCGCGTTTTAAAAACACGAAAATAATTTTTGTACCTAAATTATTAACACCTATAACTTTACCTTGATATATTTTGTTACCATTGTTTTGACCATCTAGTATATCAATTTAATTGTGATTTATTACTCTATTATTTGATATCAAATTTGTTTATTTAAGTTAAAAAATAAAAAAGTTATTAAAGTTTAAAGTTAATGATATCAATATTTTTACGATACGAAATTAGATTATGTTTTTAGTGTATATATATACATACATCCACATAAACTCAGACACACACCATAATTGATGATATATCTATTAATATATATATTTATATATAAAAAACAATAGGTCCGGCCTGGACAGCGGCTCAGACATTGTTTACGACATTGTTGTCCATACAGTCTCTGATGAACGAAAAGCCCTATCATAACGAACCCGGTTATGAAGAGTTTAAAGGTCTGAAAAGTGTACGCTATAGACGACGATCGGATGTCGACACTAATGTCAAAAACTATAACGATATGATCTGTTACGAGACATTGAGGATAGCCATCATCGGTATGATGAATACAGTGTCGGGTGATTCAAGAAATATGCCCCAATCACTACAGGACATTATGATCTCATTGTTCAAATTGAACTACGATTACTATGAACGTACCATCCGATCGAGATTACAGTCGATGAACGGACAGCCGATTGTCGATCCGTTTCATAGTCCCAGTCGACCGAAAACTTTCCAATACTCGGAACTATTGGATCAGTTGTTGAAATTAAAACATCAGCAAAACATTGGCACCGCAGCCGCAGCCGTAGATCTGTCTCTAAATATTATTACTGGCCAGTCGTCGTCATCATCATCATCATCATCAACATCAATGTCCAGCAGCAGCACTGGTAGCTCGTCATCAGCGGCAGTGGCCACCAATGCAGCCGACATACGAACGGATCCGCTATCGAAATCATACTACGAAATGGTTAACAAAAAAGTCGCGGAAGTACTAACCGAACCGCGACCCGAACCCGATCCGCAGGACACTTGGGACGAACTCATCGATCAGCTTAACGACGATCTGAACGACGAAGATAACGAATTCGATGGCCTGGAGTACGAATCAGATGACGACAATGACAACGATATAGACGATGACGACAATCACTCGTCGATATCCGATTCGTCCACTGCTGACAACCATCAGAGGGCCAAAGCTATCAAATTGGATACTGAAGTACCCAATGATAATCATAATCTACAGGACCTACTGATGCCATTACTAAGGAATCCTAATCATGATCTACAAGAGGTACCCAATGATGCCGGTGCTGCTGCTGCTGCTAGTGTTGGTGTAGGCGCTAGTAGTGGTGATGGTTGTAGTAGTGATGGTAGTACTACAGGTGCTGSTCATCATTATCAACATCACCACACGCACAATGAATCGTCCAATTAGTTCGGTGTCTAATAATGTTTGATTTGAATCAATTGAATCAATTGATTGATTGATCCATTGATTGATCCATTGATAAGATAATATTGGGCCCAAACAACTACAACAACAAAAAATTATTGATTTATTTATTTATTCACAAATTATTTAAATATATAAAACAAACAAAAAAAAGTGATTTAAATAACAAAAAAAAAAAAAGTTTTAAATAGTTTTTTATAATAATAAATATCAAATGAGAAAACTTTGATRATTGCATAAAATTGTAATTTAATTATTATTATTATTATTACTGTATTATCATAATAATAATAATAATAATACATTAAAATATATATTATTATTATTATTTTTATTATTATTATTATTAATGTATTAAAAAAATAAGCAAATTTATAAATTGATACTGCTAATACAAAAAATTGTTTTGTTAAATTATGATGAAATATAAATAAATAAAAATAAATACAAATTTTTGTTTTTATATTTATTTGTAATTTAAATAATTTAATTATATATATATATATATAATCGTTAGTAATTTAAATCTAACTKGATTATAATATAACATTATAATTATGTCTAATAATTTATAAAATTATTAATTAATTACAGTTTTTATTTTTTTAATTATTAATAATAATAATATTTATAAAAATATTAAAATAATAATTGTACAATTAGTACCAAAAAAATTTATAGAAAAATAARTAAATTTATTTTATTAAAATAACCYCAAACGATTTTTTAATATTATAATTATTTACTAAATTAAATAAAAAACATTATATACATTTAAATTTTTCAAAAAAAAAACATAAAACTAATAAATATTAATTAAATATGAATCTAAATTAAATTATAGTTATCTTTATATTTATGTTATAACAAATTGATTATTATTTATTTACAGWCTATATATATATATTTATTTATTTTAATTTAATAAAATATTATTTAAATATTTTATGATTATTTAATTGTTGTTGTTGTTGATTAAATTTATATATAATACAATACAATAATTATTATTGTTAGTTTATGTTATTTAAATTTCATTGATTGTTTTATATATATATATAAAATAATTTTTAAAAACGTGTTTAATAGTTATTGATAAAATAATTGAAAATCAACTTMAAKWATATTAATCTATTAATTTTATTTTTGTTGAAAAACTAAACTGAAACATATTAGTTGTATTATAAATTAAATTATATATTTTAATAATTAATAACAATTATGAGATTTTTTTTAAATAAAACAATTATATAAAATATTATTATTTAAATTGTTAATCACTTAGAAATATAATTTATTGATTTTAATTGTTATTGTTATTGATTATAATATATATATATATATATATATATAATATTAATTTCAATATAAATATTTATAATTGTTTTATTTAAAAAAAAATATCTTATAATTGTTATTAATAATTAAAATATATAATGAGTTATTTGTTTTAAACATTTAAAAAAATAGAAAACATGATATTTATGTTTTAAATAATTAAAAATAATTATTATTAATTATAATCATTAGTTACATTTATAGATTATATTTATAATAATAATATGTGAAATGTTAAAAACATTTCAATCATTTAATCGTTTAATTATTTATTCAATTTATTATAATATTGACTTTCGATTATAAGTTTAAAACTATTTTGTACTTTAATATTCAATATTGAAATTATATGTTAATCATTTTTGTTATATTTTTGTATTGTTTTAGTGTTTAGTTTTTGTATTACTTTATGTTCAGTCTAGTGTTGTACTCGAGAGAGGAAAGTCGTATCTATAGTCGGCCTTCAAAAACAACACATGTTTTGGGTGTAATTTTAAGTCCCACTCTTAGGGCATTTAATTATTATATGTTTTGTCTTAATTGATTTAATAATTTAATTAACTGTTTAGTTAATCAATAATAATATAAATTAAAGATCTCATTTATAATTCAATTATAAGTTTAATTAATAAATATTAATAAAGTTTTGTATTTAAAGTTATATAAGTTATACATATTTTGTTGGTATACTCAGTATATGTCTATAAGCCGAGTATTGGCTTAGAGTTTATGTTATATAGTGTTATTGATATTCTGACGATAATTGTGGTTCGATTCTGTTCGACGTTAGTTAAAGTTATTGCCGTTCGAACAGTGGCTTCCGGTTCCGTTCGGATTGATGTGAATACGAACACGTATTTATTAGTTTGTACTGTTTACCCCCCGTGTGTTTATAACCCCCGTTGTATTGTTTCTCACCCCCGTGTTAATCGTGTCCAGTATATAAATTGTGAGCTACACCTAGCCTTAGTAACGGAGCGCTTACCCATTGGTCTATTGGTTGATCTACGGGTGAAGTCAAGTCCATTCTCCGTTACATAACTGGTGGAGGTTGCGTTTCGACCCCCCTGTGTTGAACCCCACTGCAGTTACATAACTGGTGGAGGTTGCGTTTCGACCCCCCTGTGTTTAGCCCCACTGCAGTTACATAACTGGTGGAGATTGCGTTTCGGTTCCCCTGTGTTAAGCCCCACAGCAGTTACATAACTGGTGGAGGTTGCGTTTCGACCCCCTGCTAAGTTCCCACTGCTGTTACAAAGTGGTAGAAAAGTTCAAACAATATTTTTATCATTAAAACAAGTCATTGATTAAGTTCAATGAGTAGAGACAATGAAAGTATTAAAAGATTATTCACAGACCGAGAATTAAGATACAAAAACCGTAATACTATTAAAGCTACAGTTTCTACACCTGATCTAAACAAACACATAGACAAGGATCAGATAACTTTTACACCAATCAAAGAGATCAAAGATCAGCTATCTCTCAATATGGACGAAAAAATAAAGGAATTGACCGAAAAACTAGCTAAACAACAGTTAGAGTTAACTGAAGCTTTAAAAGACAGAGAATCAGCAATTCGTGATTTGAAGGATTTAGAGGAAAACACAGATAAACTAAAGACCTCTTTTGATCAACAAAATAAGTTATTAGTACAGCAAAAGACATCACTTCAACAACAGCTACTTCAAGAGAGAAGTGATAAACTAAAAGAGATTGAAGACTTGAAACTTAAGCTACGATTAAATCCTAATAAGGATTCAGTCAGATCTCAGACACCTAGTGTGGTGACGATTGATGACGATCTGGTAGTTGATCCACATGTTAAAGCATTGAAGGATATAATGATGACAATTTGCGATGAAGTTACATCAATGAAGGCCAAAATGTCAAACCTTGAATCCGGTAGTGCTAATCGTCATACAGTTGGTGACAGACATATAGAACAGACAAACAATTACTCATCAGATCTGTTGTCGAATTCTAGATCGGATTCAAACATATTTGCAGAAGTAATCGACAGAAATACAAATGTCTTCGAGTCGTTGAAGAAAACTAAATTAGATATGAAGAATATTACGAAGTTTTCTGGAGAAGAAGTGGTAGCACAACAATGGTTGGCACATTATAACACTATTACAGATAGTCGTGGTTTAGATGAAGCGTCTAAACTCAGAGGTGTTGCCGAATGTTTTAAAGGATCAGCTTTTGACTGGTTTCACGCCAATATTTATGGCAATGTATGGATCAACTCTTGGGATAGTTTTGAAAGAGCGTTCCGAAAGAGATACGATTTAGGAGAAGCTAACGATATCACAGCGTTGACAGACGCTTATCGACGACCAGATGAAAGACCATCAAGTTTTGCGCAAAGAGTCCAAAGTTTGGGCAAAATTGTTGGAAACGTTTCTCAAGGGTCGATGGTAGGCATTATCAAGAAAAATATGAATGACATTAGCTTTGTTTTAGCTATAGAAAACATGAATACCATCGAGGAGTGCATCAGTGCATTACAAAGACGTGAAAAGACAATCAATTGGCGACCGAATACGTCGCAAAATTACAGCCAATTCAAGCCAAAAGGTGACAATAGAAATCAATTTCCATCAGTAGGTCACATGAAGTTCGCTAAGCAAGACATTAAGTGTTACAATTGTAATGGTAATCATTTTAAGACAAATTGTCCTCTTCTAAAGAGTCAGAAGGATTTGTGGAACAGGTGTTACAATTGTGAAACTATTGGACATTTCGCAAAAGATTGTAATCAACAGATCAACAGACAAGTTATTGCTAACAATCGACAAAACTACACGTCTTTAAGTGACAAAGAGATTATTCCTGAGTTACCTCAACAGTATCAACAATATGGATATATTAATCAATTGCAACCACAACAAGTGCAACAGTATCCTCAATCGTTTACTCCATTAAATTATCTAAACATGAATACATCTCAAGTACCTAATTATCCGATGGTTGCATACAATCAGTCAACATCGCAACCAATCATCTCGTTTCCTGAGTCAGGACAACAACAGCAACAACCGAAATTACCGACAGATAAGATGTGACGAACAGATCATCGGCAGTGAACCACCGTCGATGAAAAAAATGAAAATTATTTTTTTTGTGTCGTTGTTTTCTATTTGTTTATAATTAGTTTAATTGTTAAAATTTTTTGCAATTAAGTATTTTTATATTTAGTATTGGGATATTTATAAGTGAATCCATTAGTGCAATGTATTGGTATTTTTACAGCCAATATAGTTATTGCTAATGTGATGTTTTTGAGTAAATTTTTAACGTTATTTTGAGATACAGTTCGCGACAAGAGGTCGTGGGCGACCTCCCTGTGGTGGAGGGGAAGTGAACTGTGGTTTTCGTGTAATGGGGAAATGGATTCACGGCAGTTGATCCAACATTACCGAAGATTTTATTTGCAGTTTTTTTTGTTATAGTTATATGAAAGGTTATATAATTATATTAGTTATAAATTTATATACCGTTTAGCACTGGTATGTCAAATGTATGACTCAGTGGTCAGTTGACTGTTACCCTAATATGGGTGTAAGTTATTATTATTATGTGTTGTCCTCAAATATGTGTTTTATTTGAGTTACATATAAGAGTTATTTTAGTTTTATTAACATTTTGTTTGTGTCGAGTGGTCAGCAAATTTTTACCCGAAGTGTTTGATAGAATGGCCGAAAACAATGTTAATCAGGAGTGGAACCAGCGGTTAGTCGATCAGATTTGGGATCAACTAAGTGGTCGTTTTGGTCGCACCCTTCAGGAAGAGTTTTCCCGTCAACTCGAGGATCAAGAGTTGGGACTTCCGTTCTTGTGGACCGAACCACCCGCTGATGTTTTTGTCGTGTTTTTTCGGGATCAGACCCGCATTCAGGGTGTCGCCAGAGGCCGCGGTATTCACCCGAGAAGTCAATGATCGCCGGTTTTGTCGGGGGCGACAAAAGTCAAGTATAGGGGAATGAAATGTTAAAAACATTTCAATCATTTAATCGTTTAATTATTTATTCAATTTATTATAATATTGACTTTCGATTATAAGTTTAAAACTATTTTGTACTTTAATATTCAATATTGAAATTATATGTTAATCATTTTTGTTATATTTTTGTATTGTTTTAGTGTTTAGTTTTTGTATTACTTTATGTTCAGTCTAGTGTTGTACTCGAGAGAGGAAAGTCGTATCTATAGTCGGCCTTCAAAAACAACACATGTTTTGGGTGTAATTTTAAGTCCCACTCTTAGGGCATTTAATTATTATATGTTTTGTCTTAATTGATTTAATAATTTAATTAACTGTTTAGTTAATCAATAATAATATAAATTAAAGATCTCATTTATAATTCAATTATAAGTTTAATTAATAAATATTAATAAAGTTTTGTATTTAAAGTTATATAAGTTATACATATTTTGTTGGTATACTCAGTATATGTCTATAAGCCGAGTATTGGCTTAGAGTTTATGTTATATAGTGTTATTGATATTCTGACGATAATTGTGGTTCGATTCTGTTCGACGTTAGTTAAAGTTATTGCCGTTCGAACAGTGGCTTCCGGTTCCGTTCGGATTGATGTGAATACGAACACGTATTTATTAGTTTGTACTGTTTACCCCCCGTGTGTTTATAACCCCCGTTGTATTGTTTCTCACCCCCGTGTTAATCGTGTCCAGTATATAAATTGTGAGCTACACCTAGCCTTAGTAACGGAGCGCTTACCCATTGGTCTATTGGTTGATCTACGGGTGAAGTCAAGTCCATTCTCCGTTACATATGTGATTGATATTAAATTATTTTTTATTGGTTTTTGGGACCAATTTTATTATAAATTTATTCACACATAAAACATAAAATAAAAATAAATAAATAATAAAATTTTTGATGTATTAAAAAACAATATATATATATAAATGATATTTAAATTAATAAATTTATAATAAAATAAAAATTAATTGAAATAATAGATGATTTTTATTAAAGTTATTACAGATATATATACTAATTATTTTATTTTTATTAATTTTTAATTAAAAATAATTAGGCCTGTAGCTAATCAAATAAAATTTGATTAAATTTTATCTTTAACTGTATCTAAATATCTATTATTAATTTTTTACAGTTTTTAATTAAACTATTAGAAAATAAATGATTAAAAAAATTTATTAAATTTTTTTTAAATAGAAATTATTATTGACTAAAGTCTATAAAAAAGTCTTTATAAAAAAATTTATAAAATTTCATACTATTAAATAATAGTAAATTATTTCTATAATTAATATATATATATAATGTAATTTTTTTAAATTAATTAAATATACTTATTGTAAAATTAATTTATTTAATAGTAAACTTAATATTTATTTTGTTAAAAATTGAATTAATATTATTGATTTACAATTTATAATAATTTTAAAAAAATTGAATTAATTATTTTAATAAATACAGTATTTAATAAATTCAAACTAATAATTAACTATTTTTATTTACTAAATAAAACTAAATAATTTATTAATTATTTTATTTAATATCTACTTTATATATAATTATTACTGTAAATTAAATTAGATTTTTGAATACTATATTAAATAATAATACTTCAGTAATGTTTGTTTTTTTTAATAAATATTATTTATTATTATTATTTTAATTTTAATTAATTAGTTACAAAATTCTAAGTTAATATTTTTTTTTTTGAATTCATGATTTTTAATTACAATAAAAACATTATTTTGTCATTATTTATATATATATATACATAATATTATGATAATAATAATAATAATTTATTGTTTAAATTTATTGAATTATTATTTGTATATTTATATATACAGTATTAGCAATAAATTTTTTATTTATTTATTTTTAAACTCTTAAATATATTTTATATATTAAAAAAAATATCTGAATATATAATAAATTTAAATTAATTCAAATAATAAATAATAAATTGATTTTCTTTTTAATTGTCAATAATATATATATAAAAAAGTTCAGTCAATCAATTTGGTCAGTCATGTCATTGTCATCATCATCAGTGAATCATTGGTATCTAAGCTGAATTGATCTCTACTACCGGTGCGCTTGAAGTCATACGGGTGTCGATAATGGGAACACTCTTTGCCTGTGATTTGATTTTATGTCATCACTTGTTGTTGTCGTCGTCGACGATGATGTTGTTGTTGATGTTGATGACTGTCAACAACAAAAAATTAATAAATAAAAAAATTATTTAATACTTTATACAAACAATTTTTATGTTTTATTTTAAGCTAAATAAAAAACACACACTAATGATAGATAAATATATTAATTAATTAATTAATAAAAAAAATAAAAGTTATAAATAACTTACGTTAATAAAGTTGACAATAGGTTCGGGTGTTAGTGTAACACACAGTAGCTGATCGGCACCGGGATATATACCAGTGCTTTGTTTATCATTCTATTAAAATAAAAATAGTATTATATTTTTATATATTTGTTTAGTATATATATATAAATTTATTTATTAATTATAATATAAAAACTAAAAACATAACATAAAACTACAAAATTTCTAATAATTATATATATCGATATATATATATATATATATATATATATATATATATATTGTATTATTAATTATGAGTATTAGGTATACAATATATATAAATTATATATATATATATAATTTATATATACAGTAACAATACCATACAAACCCATAACAACCAATTTTAATTAAAAAATTAATTTATGATTAAAAATTAATAAAAAAAATATATGATTAGTAATATACCATAAAAATAAATTATTAATCATTAATAATAATAAAAAAATAAATAATTTCAGCAATAATTAAAAATCAATAAATACTTACATAATTATTAAGTATTGATTGACTATTTAATACATGTATCCTATTATTATTATTATTATTATTACTATTAATAGTATTACTGGTAATACAATTGATTGGCTGCTGCTGTTGATAGCCGCCGCCGATGACCAGTAGTCCATCAGTAGTGGCCATTGTTGTCGGCGGTGGCGGCGGCGGTGGCGACGACGCCGACGCCGACGACTGTCTGTCCGACAACGGTGTCAGTGCGTAGCCGTCGATCGGCGGAATTACGTCCGGGTTTTTGCGGTCAGCGGCGGCCAATGTGTCCATCAATTCGCGATCAGATCCTCTTAGATCTTCTTTGGATGAATTGTCGGCAAACATATCGCTACTAATTATAGATAAATATCAGACAATCAGTTATTATTGAGACATCAAATGATAAATATTTTTTTGGTTTTATATATCTTTAAAAAATATATTAATTTTTTTTTTAATATAAATTATATATTACTTATCACTTAATCTCCGGTCTCTGTATTGCTTTTCCGTTGTCGACGTCGACGACACGGATGAAGACTCTTTTCGCCGATTATTTGACCGTATTTTGCATATAATTACAAGTATTATGACGACTAAGACGACCACTAGTCCCAGTCCTAAGGCAACGGCCAGTACGGCACTGATATCGTCGGTGTGCGGGACGTCCGCTACTATAAGATATCATATCATCCGAAAAAAAATCAAAAATTAATATAACAATACATTTAATATACAAAAAAAAAAAAAATGTTTACCAAATTTTTTATTGAGCAGTGCTAGCGTAGGCACCGTTAGCTCAGTGGCCAGACTACGGCCCTTAGCATTGGAGGCATAGATTATAGCTAAATACTGAGTACCCGACATCAGATCGGTTAGCCGAAAGGCTGGACTATACTGGCGGCTCAGATTGGCTACCAATCGATGGCGATTCGGCGACGGCGACCGATTGCTGGCCACCGATTGATGGCCATCGATGTCATCGCTATCGTAGAGCTCCAAATGAAACAGTTGGTCGAGACCGCCGTCATCGCCGCCAATACAGTCGACCGTTATATCGGTTGATGTCTGATTGACGACCAGACAGCTGGTCGGCGAACCGGGCAATCCGGCGGCAACTATCGAGAATATACACGGATCCTGTTGTTGGCCAACCGAATTGGTTGCCCGACACGATATCTGGCCAAAGTCACGTTTGGTTTTCGGTATGTATGTCAATGTCGATCCTAGACTACCGGTGCTGCTCTGCTGATAGTTGCCCAACAGTTGCTGACTATTGGCATTGACCGACCACTGAAAGGTTACRTCGGGCGGTTGGGCATCGACTTCGCACCCGATGGTCATGGTTTCGCCGATGGCCGCACCGAATACACGCTTATGGCTTCGACATACCGGTGCGTCTGAAAAAACCGTTATTAAAAAAAATATTTATAATGTATAATAAATCTTATAATAATTATAATATAAATATTTTTTTAAAAACTTAATTTTTAAAAGTATTAATATTATATAATGAAATAAATATTTAATACTTTTTAAAAAAAATAAATTATTTTGATATTATCTATAAGTTTATAATTTTATTGACATTTAATTTAATTTTTTTAGTTTTTGTTTTTTTTTTGTTTTTCTGAATCAGAAATATGAATGAAAACTTTTTTTTGTTGAAAAAAATAAAAACAATTTTATATATTTTATATTATTATTATTATCTTTGTATATCACGGTTGTTCCGGTGTGATCACAGCTGTGTCGGCCACTTTTGGTGGCAGAGACACGACTGGTTAGACTCAACTCAAGTCTAGTACTTTTCTGACTGTTCTACAACTCTGAAGTATCACTGCTTTTTGCATTTCATAGATCTTAGTTTTTCTGATTTCCAGTGATTCCAAACTTAGGGCCAGATTTTTCGGTATTACGGCCATTGATGATAGGATTATAGGTATGATTTCAACTTTCTTAATGCGCCACATCTTATTGATCTCATAGGCCAAGTCTGTATATTTTCGGCGTTTCTCACTATGCGTGTCCTGTAGTTTGTGTGTTAGTGGGACCGCTATGTCTATTATGTACGCCTTATCTTGATGTTTGTCTACTAGTACTATATCTGGGCTCTCTCTCTCTCTCTCTCTCTCTCTCTCACTTTGTGGCTCGTATCTATAGTATGGTAATGGTTCTTTGGTTAGTCCGAATCTTATTGCCAATTCCTGATGTATGATTTTGGCTACTTGGTTGTGACGGCTTAGGTATTCGGTGTTTGTGAGTACTTTACACCCGTTTAGTATATGTTCTATTGTTTCGGACTCCATATGACACATCCTGCACTTGTCTGTTGGTATATTTAGCTTTTGGATGTATTTCTGATGGTTTCGTGTCGGAATCACTCGATCTTGTATTGCCATCATGAACCCCTCTGTCTCTCCATGAAGACCGGCGTACTTCAACCATTTTGTAGACATTTCTTCGTCTACGTGTGTTTGGTTGAGTTCTGCTCTGTATCTACCGTGGAGTTCTTTTGAGGCCCATGTGTTAATCCTCTCTTTTTCATTTTGTATTTCTATTTGATGTTCATTATTGCTGAGATTTAGAGGTGTGTAGTTGTAATCAAGTGTTGATGTTATTTTGTGGAGCTCTGAGACATTGCATTTTTGTTGATGGTATTTTCTCTCTCTCTCTCTTTGGCTTCTTCTCTCTCTCTCTCTCTCTCTAACACACTCTCTCTCTCTCTGGTGTAGTCCAAACATTGTAAGTTGTCGCCTTATATGTCTTTCAATGGTCTCAAGTTCTGTTTTACTCCATTTTATTATTCCGAACGAGTATGTCAGTACAGGTATAGCCCAAGTGTTTATGGCTTTGAATTTGTTGTTTGAGTTTAGTTGAGATTTTAGTATTTTTATTATTCTTTGGTTTAATGTTTTCTTTATTTCTTCTTTAACTTCTGTCATTTTAGATTTATGCATTTGCTTAATTCCTAAATACTTATATATATCTCCATTTTCTAGTGCCTTTATATATCCGTTTTCAGTTTCGTATTGATTTCTTTCAGAATAGACTCCTCTTTTCAGTTTCATTATAGCACATTTATCTAATCCGAATTCCATATTTATATCATTGGAGAAAGTTTCTGTTGTTTTTAGCATTGCATTTAAATCAGATTCTTTTTCGGCGTATAGTTTTAAGTCGTCCATATATAGTAGATGTGTTAGATTATATTTTGTATCACTTGATTTTAGATTTACGCCTTTTAGCTTTTTAAGTAGTGATGACAGTGGGTTTATAGCTAAGCAGAACCACAGAGGACTGAGTGAATCTCCTTGAAATATTCCTCTATTTATTTTGATTTCTGTACTTATTTTTGTTCCATTATTTGTATTGACACACAATTTAGTATTCCATTTTTTCATCATATTTTCTAATGTGTTTATCAGTGTGTTGTCAATTTTATATAGTTATAACACTCTTAATAACCATTTATGAGGGACTGAATCGAATGCTTTCTTATAGTCTATGTATGCCATTTCAAGATTTCTATGTTTTTGACGAGCTCTTATTGTTATGATATTGTCTATTGTTAATTGCTCTTTACAACCCATTGAGTGTTTTATACAGCCTTTTTGTTCTTCAGCTATTATGTTGTTGTTACTTAAATGATTATATATTTTTGTTGATATTATGGATATATATAAGCAAGTGATTGGTCTATATTTGCTGGGATCTGATGTATTTTCTGTTTTTGGGAGTAGATATGTTATTCCGGAAGTGAGGAAGTCATCGGTTTGTCCTGTTTGTATTATTTTATTCATTGCTATTGCCATTGGTTGATGAACTGTTGTAAAGTGTTTATACCAGAAGTTTTGTATTTTGTCTTGTCCTGGGCTTTTCCAATTGTGGGATTTATTGAGGGCTTCGGTTAAGTCATCTTTAATTATATACTGAAGTCATATGTGGTATATATATATATTTATCCAATTAGATTCTTTATATTCCTTTGGGTTACTCCAGATTTCTTTCCAGTAGTTTTCTATTTCATCTATTTGTGGTGTATTGTTATTATTGCTTGAATTTATTTTATTTTGATTTCTATAGAACATTTTTTCGTTATTATAGAACATTGTATTTTGTTTTCGTCTTTCGCTTTGTATTTTATATCTTCTAATTCTTTGTGATAGTGCTTGAACTGTTTGTTTTAATGTGTCGTTGTAATTTCGGATTATGGATTCAAATTCAGGTTTTCCAGGTTTTGTCTGTAATGATCTGTATATATCTTTTAATGATTGGTTAAGTCTTTTTGATTTGATTCCATTTAACACTTGCGTTATTCTTCCAATTATTTTTCTTTTCCCTTCTATCCGTGTCTCTATTCGCTTTTGCCATTTAGGTATTACATTTTCTTGATTTGGTTTTGTTGTAGACATGTGTTCTATTTTGTAGCCTAAGAGTATATACTGCTGCACAATACGTTATTGTATTAATTGCGCTCAACGACATATTTTCTTCGATAATCTTTAAGTATATCATTTATCGTTATTATAGTAGATCTTGTTTTAATGCCACTTCTTATTTTTGGTAATTTAGGTCTGAATTCTATTTCAAAGTCTTTATATTGTTCTAAAGATGTTTTTAGTTCATTTTCTGCTGTTATTCTTTTTATTTCATCATTTGTATTGTTTATGTTATCTGTTGTTGTAGGTGTCTCTTCTATTTCTGGCACTACTTCTACTGTGGTATTTAATTCAGTTGTTTCATTTAATGATAGTTCATGTGCCACTTGTTGTTTGATTTCTTGTAATTCAATCGGGGATATTTTATTATTCTTTGCTAAGAATCGCCGTTGGTCTGCAATTCTTTGTTCCGTTACATTTAGTTCTGGATATTTTTGTTTGAATGCTAAGTATATTTGGTTTCTGTAATTAGTCATATTTGTTTCGAGTCGAGTTGATCTGTAGTATTCGCGCATTATCAAGGTATTCATCTCATGTGTCCATCTCATGCGCTTTTGCGATTTGTCAACCAAATTGGTCAGTTGTTGCTGAGAACCAGCTTGAACTGAAACATTTTGGAGGTTAGTCTGATTTTGTTGACTAGTCTGCGGTCGCATTACATCACAGCTTTGCCCGCATAGCACATCACTGCGTGGGATATGATGCATACTTAACGAACAGCAGTCAATGCCTACCTGCTGAACGCGGGATTTATTTGAGAGGGTACCTCCCGAACACCCCCCGTTATTCCTACGACTACGTGTAATCATATTTATATATACGGGGTCCCGGTCCCTAGAGAAAGCTCAACACTAACATGTGTCTATTGCCACCCATTTCTCACCACTAACATGTGTTTGTTGAAATAGGATTTTTATTTTTATTTTTTTGAAACAAAAGTGGCCATTGCGTGTGAGGACGAGTAACTACTCGAAGGGTGAAGGGACATCCTTGCGGACGTCCCTTCGGGGTGGGGGCACCTTTTTACAGGCACCCCCGGGTGGGAGCACCCTTGCGGGTACCCCCAGGTGGGCACCGATATATACCGATACCCGGGTCGGGCAGAAACTCGTCCTCACTTAGCACCCCGCTTTCCCCATACTACTTAAGTTGGCCGTCCTAAACAGCGTTGGTTGGGCAGGGACGGGAAGCACAGTTAAAACAATTTTTTTTTCTCAGAAAAATTGCTTTCCACATCAGGGCTCGAACTCACGATCTTACTCTCCATTACTCTACTAGCCCTACACACTAACCACTACACCACTGTGCCTGTGTGTGTTATTATTATTATTATTATTATTATTATTATTATTATTATTATTATTATTATTATTATTATTATTATTATTATTATTACACATTATTATTATTATATATTATTATTATTATTATTATTATTATTATTATTATTATTATTATTATTATTATTATTATTATTAGAGAGAGAGAGAGAGAGAGAGAGAGAGAGAGAGAGAGAGAGAGAGAGAGAGAGAGAGAGAGAGAGAGAGTCCTATTTCTATCACATTTGACTTTTTTTAAAAAAATAAAATGAAAATTTTATTTCTCTCTCTCTCTCTCTCTCTCTCTCTCTCACCCACTCTCTGTAAATCAGTCATAGAAAAGTCATATTCAATATACTGTATAATAAAAAGAGATTTTTATTAAATCTATTGAATAAAAATAAAATATATAATAAAATCTTTTTACTTTTTTCTGACAAAAAAAACTTTTTTTTAGTTACACAAAAAATTGTAATATTTTTGACAACATTTTCTCTCTCTCTCTCTCTCTCTCTCTCTCTCTCTCTCTCTGTTTATATATGCTATACGTAAACGTATTTCATAATAACAAATATATAAAACTAAAATAAACATTATCATCAAATAAAATAAATAAAAATATTGTAAAATTCATACAAATATTTTTTATATAAAAGTTCATATAATATAATCTAAATTTATCTATTCATATAAAATAATTATTAACATTACAATATATTTTTTATATATTTATATAGATATAATAAAAAAATAAAAAAAAACAAATAAACAAAATAATCTATCTTGCTTAGTTAAAAATTTTGGAAATTTATAGTAGTTATTAAATATATATAATATATGTAAAATATTTAAAAATGAAATGTAAAAAAATATAAACTAAAATAATTTAATTTTTTAAAATATAATATTAATTTTTATCAACAAATATTAAAAATATATATATATAATAATAATATTATTTATACTATTTGAATAAAATTAATTAATAAATAAATTTTTTGTTTATAAAATGAATACCCAAACAAATAAATATATAATAGTATAATATATATATCTATATATATTTAGTATATAATTAATTAATTCATAAAAATTTGTTAAATAAAAAAAACACTTACAATTGACAACTAGTGTCAGCTCTTGACTATGACCTCTGCCCTCTGAGTTGTTGGCAAAACATTGATACCGACCCGAGTGCTGGCGTCGGACACTTTTGACTACTAGACTAGAGTTATTGATGAATACACCTATCAGGTCATCGAGGTGTCAAAGGTCAAACAACATATACAACATTAAAATAAGTTGGATTAATATATAAATATATTGTATAATAATAATAATAATAATAACACACACACACACATTGAAATAAAACACACATATATGCCCGGATTGGCACTAATCTGGCACTTCATAAATATCTCGTCCCCATCAACAACATGCTGTCCACCACTACTACTACTACTACCGCCATCACCACTACTACCGGTACCACTACTACTACTACCACCACTACTACCACCACTGCCTCCAGTAGTCTTAGTGTTTGTACTAATCATTAACGATAGTTGCGGTATAACTGTGGGTTAGAGTGTAGAGTAGAGGACAGGGATGTATTAGAGGATACAAAAAGTAATATATATATATATAGTATTAAACAAACATTAGTATTAAAATTGAAAAAAAAAATCAAATTATCACATATATTATAGTATCATAAAATTATAGACTAGACTGGCATTAATATATATCTATATAAATTGGTTATTAGGCAAATAATAATTTATCAATTRAGTGAGTGGGGGAAGAGGGAGGGGGTCAGTAGGTCATGTGCTTGAGGGGCACAGTTAGCTATATAATATTGGTGACAGCTGTGTGTGTATATATGCTATAATATTTTGATGGTGCAATTTTCGCATAACCTTTTATACATATACACACACACACACACACACACATTATATATATTATATAAATGTATTAAATAAACTAAAATGGGATTTATTGATAGAGAGAGAGAGAGAGAGAGAGAGAGAGAGAGAGAGAGAGAGAGAGAGAGAGAGAGAGAGAGAGAGAGCCATATGTATTGATAAATATGGGCTTAAATCTCTATAATACTATAATATAATACACAGTACTGTTAGAGGTTTTTTCAGGTCAAACAGTGATATAATCGCCACTTAAATTTCGGACATAAATATCGGAATTATATTGAATATTATGTTATATACTGATATATATATATATATATATATATATATATATATATATATATATATATATATATATATATATATATATATATATATATATATATATATATATATAATATATAATATTATATCATCTATAATATAGGCTAAATTGAATGAAAAACGACTCTCGATTTTATATATATAAATATCCCTATCTTTTCATAAGCACCGGTATATTGTGTGTGAAATGTTATGAGAAAATCTCCTCTTTATTCAATTTAATTCAATATATGATATATATATATATATATATATATATAACTTATAAATTTATATATAAATATAGTATAATATTTATTATAATCACATTATATCACGGGTTAGCACACATACACAGAAACAGATACAAACACACACACACACATACACATACATAAATACACACATACACACACACACACAAATACATACATACATACACACACACATACACACACAYACACACACACACACACACACACACACACACAACATACATACACTTACAGTACAATCAAATTCATTAAACACAGTATGTGTTAAGCAAAACAAATATTAATATTTTTTTTTATTTTTCTACACACTATTACACACTATTCATACAAAACAATATCATCACATATACTGTAATAAACTATAAAAATCTCTGTAATTATGACTTTAATATTAATAATACTAATAATAATTTATATGAATTTATTTTATTACTAAATACTGGAATCAATTATTTATTTATTTGAATTGTTTAGTTGAATAAAATTCAAAAATAAATAATCAATTTATATATAACTTAATAATGACTATAACATGTATACAGTATACTGTGTATAATTAATAAATCATAGATAATATATTAATCTAACATAAAAAAAATTATTATGTAATTAAAAAAAACTAAACACAAAATTTTTTTATATACACATTATAATAGGATTCAATACAATATATTTAATATAATCTATAGTTTAATAGTCTACTGAATATATATATATATTTATATAGTGTATAAATCACTTAACAATTGATTTATTTATTTTTTATTTATTATATATTATAATGATTAGCATATACTTAAAACATAATCATATTGTTATGGGAGAGTAGATACCCATATAATCCCTATATATATATAATCAAAGTCAACATTTTATTTATCTAAAAAATATTAAAAAATAAATTACTGTATAATACAATCAATCGGATAATAGTTTTTTTTAAACACTGGGTGCTTAACAAAAAAAAATCAAATAAGTATCAATCAAATGGTTAGACCAAAATGTGTTACCAAACTTAAATATTTTTTTTGTGGACACAAATAGCATATATTTTTTCGGGGGGGGGRAAACACACACTTGTATTGAATTAATAGCAAAATTAATAAAAAAAATATCAAACTATTAATATAATAGTAGTTTTTTTAAATAACAAAATTAATAAATATTTTTTTGTGTACACAAATAGCATATATTTTTTCGGGGGGGGGGGAAACACACACTTGTATTGAATTAATTTTTTTAATCAAACTATTAATATAATTAAGTAGTTTTTTAAATAATTTTTTTTTAATTTTAACTTACAATAGACGTTAAGCTTGAATCCCGATTCAATTGAACTGTTGGCCAGCCGTTGGTTTTCCGACCGACACGACACATACACCCCGTGATCATCGGCTCCGGGCTTATAGGTTACTGTACTTGTTGTCCAGTTTCCTATAGTTACAGTGTTTTCACTGTAATTGTTTTTTTTTAAACAAAAAACATTATTTTAAACATTTTCTCAGAAAAAAACAGAAAATATTTATATGATATATAATATATCAATAATTTTTTTTATTGTTGTTGTTATAATAAAATATAAATTCAATTCAATTCAATACAATAAAAAATACATTATATTATTGTCGAGAGAGAGAGAGAGAGAGAGAGAGATAATGGATTTTATTAGTATATATTTTCAATAGATTTCAATTGTATATATATAATCTTATAAATATTGTAAATAATATATATATATATATATATAATAGATAAATTATATGTTTTATTATCTTACATGTTTAAGATATTATATTACATATATATATATAAAAAACAGTAATAACTTTAATAATATATAATATAAATAGCTTATAAAATTCATATTTATATCATATATATATATAAATATATATATAAAGTTTGATATATATATAAAACTTTAAATTGAATAATCATTTGTTTTGTATTCAATTTTTTATAAATAAATTTTTTCCGAGATATTAATAATATATATATAAGTTATACCAATAATATAATGTTAAATAAAATTGATTTATTTCCAAACACACAACAACAAAAAAAAACATATTGATATAAAATATATTTTTTGAATATTTAAGCTTAAGTACAAATATATTACTAAATGTATGATCAATGTTACATAAATTTTAATATAATATACTGTACTTAAAAACCCAAAAAATAAATAAAATAAATATCCATAAATTTTATTTATAATAATAAATTTAAAGAAAAAATAATCTATTATTAAGTTTACTATTAGTATATATATATATATTAAAAATTGTTTATTATGTTTACCGATCACTTATTTATCATATTATTATTATTATTATTATTATTATTATTATTACATATGTGCTAACTGTGTGCAAACATTTATGATATAATAATAATAATAATAATAATAATAATAATAATATTACTGAATAGTTATTAACGGATTAAATGTTTGCTTACAAAATAATACTACTGTTTAAAAAAAATATTTATAATTTATCTAAACTTTTTTATTTTGTTGTTGATATATAATAGTGAGAGAAATATATCAAAAAAAAACCTAAAATTTATTATAATTTATATATATATATCATATATTAATCTATTATATATATATATATATATATACGGAAATAATATACCGCCATATGATTAATAATATTGTTATTCATCTATAATAAAGCTATTTATCATTTTTAAAAATATATAACAAATTATTATTATTATTATTATTATATTATATATCATATATTATTATTATTATTATAAAAAAAATAACTGTTAATAATACATACGAGGCGTAACTTAATGGACGGTTATCTTTGAACCAACTGATCAGTGCCGGCGGCCGACTACCCGACGTACGGCATACCAGTTCAACACTATTGCCAACTGTTAGATGACTGTCCAACGAGTTTAGCCTAATTTCATTGGGTTTTACTTTAAATAGCAAACAAACAAATAAATAAATAATTGATTATTAATAACAATCGTTTGGTTTGTTTGGTTTTTTGTGGTTAACTAACAATTGATATCTAATTGTACGGATGTTTTGATGGGCGCCGTTAGGTTTGGATTGGAGGCCATACAGACAAATCTGGCCATTAGGTCGGCTCGGGATAAATTCATTATCAATAAGTCGTTGAAAATGGTTTTATTGTCGATACTATAGCTGTAGGTGTCGTCTAGTATTATATTATTATCGTTATTATTATTATTATCATTATCATCGTATCTGTACCATATCAGCGATGGTGGAGGTTTGCCTGTATCGTGTGGTGGGGGGGGGGAGTTGGATAGGTGTCAGATAAAGCACTGGTAGTTAGTTTATTATATTACAAACACACACACACATATATATACAATAAAATAATTACTAATAAATTAGATTCAATATATATATATAATACAAAAAATAAAAATTTTAATACAATTTTATATAACCTATACTTTATAGTTAGTATAAAATTGCATTAAAATTTTACTATACTTTATATTATAATTATAATTAAAAAATAATATATTAATAACTATAGTAAACATATAAATATAATAATTATATTTATTATAATTAATATAATATAACTATAATTATATTAATAATAATAATAATAATAATAGAAAATATATCAATTATTTATTTTAATTTTTTAAACCAAAAAAAACATCAATAACATCAACTACAGTACATTTTTTTAGTTGAAAACTTTAGATTTTTATTATTAAAAATTTTTTTATTAGTAGTAATTACTTAAAAATTAAAAAAAAACATAAATAATATATATATAAACAACACAAACCTCCCTCAGCTTCGCACAGTAGTCTAAGATTGGTGTCCTCATTGAAGGGCCCGATTAGGTCGTGCAATGGTCGACCCAATTCATCTTTGATGATCACTTTTTTGGGAGGCACTGGGAGATTAAAAAAATAGTAATATATTAGATGCCAACTAACCAACCGTGAGATAACAACATTACTTTACTACCCGCCCCCCCCGCCCCCACTTAACTTATATATACTTACCAATAACGGATAGTCTGACAAACGTACTCATAGTACGACCCCATCGGAAGTCTACTCGGCACCGGTATTCGTGGTCGTCGTCCTCCCGGACCGGATCAATCTTGAGCAGCGCCGGCCGGGTGTTCAGCTTGAATAAGGCACGACTGGCCGCCTAAAAAAATTGGTAGAAAGAGAGAGAGAGAGAGAGATGTTAAATGCAAAATAGGAAATTTCTAGTAAAATTTAACTATATAAATTTCAAATTAAATTTCTAGTTAAATTACTAGTAAAATTTAACTAGATAAATTTGTAGTTAAATTTCTAATTAAATTTGTAGTTAAATTTATAGTTAAATTTGTAGTTAAATTTATAGTTAAATTTATAGTTAAATTTCTAGTAAAATTTAACTAGATAAATTTCTAGAGAAATTTTTAGTTAAATTTCTAGTAAAATTTAACTAGTTAAATTTTTAGTTAAATTTCAAGTTAAATTTCAAGTAAAATTTCAATAATTTTTTTTTATTTTATTAATTAAACTATGGGATCCCCCATATCTATATCTAGTACTGTTTAATACTAGTACTAATATATATATATATATATACTGTATATATGACTAGGGGATCATCCCGTTAGGAAAAGTTTTATTTATTAATTTTTGGAAATATCTCATTTATTTTATTATTTATTTGTTTGTTTGCCAACACACCCACACCCACCCACCCATACATACATACATATACACACACATACACTACCTGAAAGACATCGGCACTGGCAAAATGGCGGGCATTATTCAGGCCAGGATTGTCGCGGGCGTCGACCGTATAGATGGGCGTCCGATTGTCGCCCCTATACCATAGTATCAATGTAATGGCGTCCTCGGGTGTCGGCAGTGTTACATTGCACGGTAGTTCAGCTTTGCCACCGACCAGTGACTTGTATTCAGGATATACTGTAATTACAAAAAACAAATTTATATAAATATTAAGTAACAAAAAACAAATTTAATAAATAATAATAACTTATTTATTGTATTAATTATATATATATAACAATAGTTTAGATAATATAAAGTTTATATATATATTATATTATAGTATATTTGAAGTAATTTTTTTTATGTTTGATACAAATTTTCTATCTTTAATCTTATAGTTAAAAAAAATTATATAATAAATATGTAAAATAAAATCTATTATATAATTAATCATATTTTTAACACACTTTTATATATATATACTATACTATAGTTTTTTTTAACTATCATTTTATATATTGATTAAATAAAAAATTAAAAAAAATGTTTCATAAAAATATATTTATTATTTTTTGAGTGAAAAATATTTTTTTTTTATTTCTCTCGTAGTTTATTATCATTAGAGATATAAACCAAAAAAAAATAATAAAATAAGAGAAAGTATTATATATTATATATAGTGTTTTATGACATTTGACTATTAAACTAAAAAAAAAATAGTTTCAAAAACAGTTTTTCTATTTTTTGTGATTTATTAATGTCTTAATTATGTTTTAGCCATAATATAATAATAATAATAATTGTCATAATAATAATGTATCTAATATTACACTCAAACATAATATAGATTTTTATTTTAAGAGTCAATACTAAACGGCAAGTGATATATCATATTAATTATAAAACTTTATATATATATATATATATATATTGTTGACTTGTTTTGTCACTAATAGATCTCTCTCTCTCTCTCTCTCTCTCTCTCTCTCTCTCTCTCTCTCTCTCTCTCTCTCTCTCTCTCTCTAAACAAATGCATTAATAATAATAATTTATTAATAAAGAGAGAGAGCAATGATATCTATTTTATAATCACAAAAATGTCTTATTTTATTATAACTAAAGAAAAAAAAATTTCAAATAATAAAATGAATTCATTTATAAATTTTTAAGGAAATTATATACTATTTTTCATCACAGAATACAACCAAAAAAAATAATAATAAATTTATATATCAGATATAAATTTTTTAGTATTATTATTATTATTCAAATTTAAGGTTTTTGACCCAAAATTTGTTATATATATATATATATATTTTTCGGCTAACAAATTGAATCATTTATATATATATATATATATACAGTATTATATACTGTATAATAAAATTAATAATTTTGAATAGCATTGAAAGCATATATATATATATATAAACTAATAAAAAAAATAAAAATAAAATCGATTTAACAATAAGTTAAATTGAGTCAAAATTTTGTTATCAAATATAATATTTTCTATAATAATAAAATTTGTATCTAATGTACTAAAATATTTTATTATTATTACTACTATTATATCATATTATTGTTTAGTTTATTATATTAATAATATTATTTCCATTTAGTTTTCATTTATAAATATACTGTATATTAATATATAAAGTCAGTCTATTTATCAAATAATACAACTAATAAATTATTTTTTGTTTAACAATTGATTTGTTAAATTATATGCATATATATATATATATATCATTTATAATTAATAATTATTATTAATAAAAGTAAAGTCACTTTTTATTTTATTATTAATATTATTAATATTTTTTTTGTAGTCAATAATACTGATTATTATTAATAATAATAATAATAATACATATATATATATAAATAAAACATATTCTTAATGTTATATGATTTTGAATTAAACATTTCACTTAACTATTATTCAATAAAAAAAATAATAATTTATACTGTATTTACATAATGAGAAAAAAAAATAAAATAAAAGCATTAGTATTGACAGTATTATTGTTTTACAATATATAAATATATTGAATAAATTGAATAACATATATATATAATCTATTATACTATATATATATAATAATAATACTATTGAATTATTACTATTTATATTAATATAAATTATATATAAAATTTTAATAGAATATTCTGTTTATTTATTCATATATATATATAATTCATAAATTTTATATAATATAATATAATTTCAATTTCTATTATATATTATATCAATATATATATATACGGATACTATACTATCACACAATGACAGCAATATTTTCTCTCTTCAAATAATAATAATAATAATAATACAAAAAAATATGTTATCAATACTTGAATTACTGACAGTTAAAGTGTACGCCCTTATTGTGTGTGTGTGTGTGTCCAATATTTACACACATACACAAAACATGGGTCAATATATATACAATATATGAAATATATGGCCTTATAATAGATATAATATACTGTATATATATTGATATATAAGGCTATAGTGTTATGTAATATAATGCATCACTTTTTTTCACTCAATTTCTCTCTATCTCTCTCTCTCTCTCTCTCTCTCTCTCTCTCTCTCTTTCTCTCTCTCTCTCTCTATGTTTAACCCCTTATAAGTTCAATGGCTTAACTCTCTCTCTCTCTCTCTCTCTCTCTCTCTCTCTATATATATATATATATATATATATATATATATATATATATGTGATAAAATACAATAAATGTATAATAAATATTTGCACAGTTATTATCACATCAATACACACACACATACAGAGAGAGAGAGAGAGAGAGAGAGAGAGAGAGAGAGAGAGAGAGAGAGAGAGAGAGAGAGAGAGAGAGAGAAAATATAATGAGCATTATATTGATATATAAATATATTATTATTATTATATATTATATAATATTTGTCTTTACAAACAAAAAAATCTAATAATAATCTGATAAATATATTACTTAACACATTAATCTAATATCTATTTAATTAAATGATATAAGATTTTTTATTTATAATAAAAATATAATTAATTTTTAAAAAAATATATTTACTTATTTTTTTATTTAATACAATTAATTAATTTTCCAATAAATAAATAATTAAAATTAATTTGTAAAAAAAGTTAATTAAACAATCAATAATAAACTAAATAATAAGCTTGCTCATTTTGTGTGTGTGTGTGTGTTTTTAATTATTTGTTTTATTAATTGATAGTATTATATATATATAAATTATAGGATATACTAAAAACTATTTTAACTAAAAAATTATATATACACATACACACATACATACATACATACATACATACAAACACACACACACACACACACATACCGGTACATATGATATATATTGTACAAACATACACAAACACACACATATATATATATATATATATATATACATACACACACACACACATACACACACTTACACATATGATAATACATACATATACTGTATACATATATACAAAAATATGATAAATACATATATATACACATACACACATACATACATACATACATACAAACACACACACACACACACACACATACATACATACATACATACATACATACATACATACACACACACATACACACACATACATACATACACACACACACATACATAAAAGTGATGTCATTATATATATATATATATACCGTATACCCATTGAACAATAATTTCAATGGGTATATACAGTATACACTATACACTTGGTATATGGCATTCAAGCGATAAAAGCCGTTAAGATCCTAGTCGTCTATAATCCCATTTTGCACTTAAATTATATATATAATACAGTATATACAGTATATATATATATAATATATATTATATATACAGTATTATCAATATAATTTATATATTGAATATATTTATATTTAACACTTACTCTACAAACATGTATAATACATCAAATAATAATAAAAAACAAGATTGAATGAAAAGGTATGCAATGGGTTGTCATTCATTGGTATCGCAGTCGACACACAAATATGCTAACTATTCACACACACATACAGTATACACACACATACAGTAAACACAACACACACACACACACACACACACACACACACACACACACACACACACATACATACATACATACATACATACATACATACATACATACATACACACACATACTAATAAATACCAATAAACAAATGATATATTTAATAGCAAATAAAATTTATTATTACAGTATTATTATCACTGATAATAAAATATAATTTTTTTTATATATGACAAAAAATCTATAATATAATACATATTTGATTTATATATAATTCTAGATTACTGTAATTAAATTTTATTAGATTAGTGTTGAAAAAAGTTTAAATTAGAAAATTTAATAAAAATATATAAAATAAAAATTTAATTATTGCAATTATATCTTTATATAATAAAATTATTAATTATTTATATTTAATAAATATATATATTATTTTTTATTATCTATAAATTATTAAATTTAATTATTAACAAGCCTTAAGGGGTTTTCATAGACACACACATTGATATATATATATATATACATACTCATATATACTCATATATACACACATACATTGATATATATACATACATACACACATATACACACGTATACACACATACAAACACATAAAACACACATACATACATACATATAACACACATACATACAGTACATACACACACACACAAACACACACACACACATACACACACACAATAAATTTGATTAATTATAGTCAATTTAAAATACTATATATAAAATGTTTTAACTTTAGGTTATATTATATTTTAGTCAACAAATTTTGCTAATGACTTCAAATCATCTGCCAGTGATTTAGTTGACATAAATTTTTTAATTTTTTTTATCTAAAAATATTTAATATAAATATTTGTTTCATCAAAATACAAAAAAACAACTAATAATATTCATTAGTTTCGTATTTTATTTTTGTTATAAATTTAAATATTATTGCCTTTAGTATCAAATAAATTATAATATTTAAAGACAAATCTCTACTAAATTATTTAATTTAATGGAAATTTTATTTTATTTTTAATTTTTTTGTGCAAATGTCATACAACTATATTAACTGTTTTTTTTAAATTTAATAATCAATATTTTAGTAAATATTTATTAAAATTCTATGTTTGACTAATTAAAAAACTATTAAAAATGCATATAATTTAATTTTTTTTGGTATATTTAATAAATTATATTAATTATTATACTGTATTATATATATATATATATTGATATATATATATAACATAATATATAATTTAAAGTTAATTTAAGGAAATATGTTTTAAATATAATAATACAATATTAATAATACAATAATGAATATTAAGTATTGTTTCAAATTAAAAACTTTAACAAAATCTAATAAATAACATGTTTTTTATTTAATTAATTTTTAAAATAACACATTTAGATTTTAAAAATAATTATAATATTATTTTAATTAATATATATATATATATATATATTATAGATATAATATATGAAATTTTTCCAATAAAAAATATTAACTAAATTATTTATTTTAAAGTTCAATAATAACAATAATAATAATAATTACTAACAAAAATTTAATAATAAATTATTTCAACTATTTTACAAAAAAAAAATCAAATAAAATACAAATAGTTTACTTAAATAAAACTAATAACTGCTATATAACTAATAGTATAGTATACTATCCCTTATATTTGGACAGTTAGTTATTTGTATTGTTTGTGTGTAAGTGTGTGATAGTGTCACCAATGACTTGGTAATGGTGAGGACAGTTAGATAAGACTACTACTACTACTACTACTACTACTACTACTGAAACAAATAATAATAAACTGATAATAACTTACCGCTGCGATCCTCGTGTCCGCTCTGAGCCCGTAATTTAATCCCCGGTACGGCTATATATATATACATATATAAAGAAAGAGAGAGAGAGAGAGTACAGGTTAGTGAACAGTTAGATAAGACAGACAGAGAGAGAGAGAGAGAGAGAGAGAGAGAGAGAGAGAGAGAGATTAGAAAATAAATTGTTAGCAAAAAAAACTTTTATGGTTTTCCCAAAAAATTCAATTCAATGATTATGAAAAAAATATATAAATTATATTTTTGTTGTAGTTGTTTATCAAATGTCAAGTGATATATATATATATATATATATTGATATAATTGTTATAATTTTTTTTAAAAATTTTATCAGTACTATTGTAAATACTATAGTAAATTTATCTAGGTATCTATTTGATTAATTAATACAATTACAGTATCAAATATATATATATATATTATAATGATTTATATTGTTTTTTATCATTAATTAATAATATAGATATCACTTCATAATTGTTAATTATCTTATATTAATATATATATATACAGTATATAGTATATAGAAAATAATTAGACAAATATTTTATTATTATTTTTATTTTGTTCAAATATATTGACATTATATATATATATTTAGATCACTGATGTTTACAATTAATTAATTAATTAATATTTATTTAATAATAACTTCAATGATTTATTTATTATTTAATTTCTTACTAAACCAAGTTAAAAACAAAAAAAAATAAAAATTAATTTAAATAAATTTAATTTCTATTAATATTATTATTTAAAAAAATAAATAAATTTAATATATATATAAATTATAATATATAATAAATATTGTTTGTTTCTCGTAAAAAATGTGAAATTTTTAACAATATATTAGTGAAAAAAATTGTATTTTTTTAATTATCGTATTATTATTATTATTATTATCATTGTTTGCCGTTTGGATTGATTTCATGATCATATCTGAACACTGGTGTAGTTAAGGATGAAAAAAAATTTAAGCGACAAAAACAATGTCTTATAACTTATATATATATATACAGTATTATCTATCTATACTATACATATACTGTACATACATATACAAACATACAGTACAAACAATATATGCCTACAAAATAAAATCCTAACTAAAAGATAAACAACACTTTCTTTTTGTAATGTTAAACAAAACTGAGTGAAAAAAAACTTAATACTAGTTGAGAGATAAATAGAGAGAGAGAGAGAGAGAGAGAGAGAGAGAGAGAGAGAGAGAGAGAGAGAAGAGAGAGAGAGAAAGAGAGAGAGAAAGAGAGAGAGAAAGAGAGAGAGAAAGAGAGAGAGAGAAGAGAGAGAGAAAGAGAGAGAGAAAGAGAGAGAGAAGAGAGAGAGAGAGAAGAGAGAGAGAGAGAGAGAGAGAGAGAAAGAGAGAGAGAAAGAGAGAGAGAGAAGAGAGAGAGAAAGAGAGAGAGAAAGAGAGAGAGAGAAAGAGAGAGAGATATTTACACTAAAGTTAAGTTTATATACTGTATATAAGGTATACATATATATAATAGTCATCTTTTAAAAAGTTTGTTAGATTTATTAATAGATAGCCTAAGAGAGAGAGAGAGAGAGAGAGAGAGAGAGAGAGAGAGAGAGAGAGAGAGAGAGAGAGAGAGAGAGTTGAGATTTGATTACAATTCAAAAACACATATAAAAAAAATTTTGACTAAAAATTTCCGTTCAAACAACAAAAATCTTTGTTTATCTATTGACTATTACAACACATACATACATACAGACAGATACACACATATATTATCACATTTAGTTACAGCTATTTATTTGGCGTTCAATCTTATAGAAGGTATATATATAGTTCAACCATATTACCTACCGGTGCTCTTTAGTGTATTTCTCAATGTGTGTGTGTGTGTCGACTGATTTTTGTTTTGTTTTTATTAGTATTTATGAGACACTGATAGGTCAAGTGTTTATAGTCCTATCATCTATCGATACAAACTGATTAACATTTAATTAGAGTTATACATATAGACACACACATACACACACATACAYAMACATACACACACATACATAAACATACACACACATACACACACATACACACACATACATAAACATACACACACATACATAAACATACACACACACACATACATACATATACACACAAAATGCTTTTAATCAGATACCTATCTAATCAACTGTGATTTATTTGACAATACATTTGCTTTAACATACTGTACAATAAATTTGCTCAAAACATATATAAAATATATATACATGTTTAGTTTTTTTATATTATTTTTGTTTTTATCTTAAAAGTKATATAATATATTAAAACTTATATTACATTCAATGTATAGAATAGAGTATAAAATGCATAACACTTTCCTCACAAATCATGTATTAATATTTAATGCAATTAAATATCTATAAAATATTAATATATATTATTTTAATGCAATTAAATAACTATCAAAATATTAATATTTAATATATAATATATAAATTAAAATATTATCTAATATATATATATATATATATATATATATTAATTGATATGTTTTTAAAAATATTTAGGATAAATGTTAAAAAATTTTTAAGCATAGATTAATTTCATTTTTTAATACATAAATTTTAAYAATATTAATATTTTAAATGCAAAAAATAAAGTTTCGCTAAAAAAAATCATAATCATCTCAAATAAATTGTTTAATCAGTCAAACTTTATGTATATAATAAAAATAATAATACTGTATATATTAGTTATACTGTATATATATTATGTTTTATGTAGTGTATACACATCCCACCAAAAAAAATAAATAAATAATAATTTTTTAAAAAATAAACAAAAAAAATTGAATTTTATAAAACAAACACAAAAAAATATTAGACATAATTTTTATATAACAAAAATGTAATTATAAAATACAAGTGAATAACTTATATCTTATTTTAGTTATATATATATAAAACTCTAGAGATATTATACAGAGATATACTGTACTCTATATATATACATATACAGCATATATATATAGTGATTAAAATTATATTATATAAGACTTTTTTTGTTGTTATTAATATTAACAAAAAAAAGTCATATCATATACAGTATATACTGTATATACAGTAATAGTGATATTATAGTTGCAGTTAATAATATACAGTATAGGATAGTATGGTTTTGTGTGTGTGTGGGGTATCATCACTGGGAATGGCATATATAATCTCAATCATCATCTCATTTGTTATGTTGTTGTTGTTGTTGTATAAAATAAATGATGTGTAAGAAAATGAATGCAAATTTTAATTTAAAACTTTATTTTTTTGTTGTTTTTGCTATTATATAATACAGTAAATATCTGATATAATTTAAGTTATCATTATTTTTTGTCAATTCATGCAAACATAATGTATGTGTGTGTGTGTGTATGTGTGTGTATGTGTGTGTGTATGTGTGTGTATGTGTGTGTATGTGTGTGTATGTGTGTGTATGTGTGTGTATGTGTGTGTATGTGTGTGTATGTGTGTGTATGTGTGTGTTTGTATGTAACAAATTGTTGTTGTTATTAATATAATATTATTATAAATTTTGTAAATTTAATTAAAATGCAAACAAAAATTACAATATAGATTAAACATACAAAAAATTTAATTTACAAAATTTTATATTAAATATAAATATATAATTTTATTTTTCAACTAAAATATAATAAAAAAAGTTTATCATTTGATATATTATTATATATATAATATAGATCTATATTTTTCAACAAAAAAAATATTATTAAAATCTATTATATTATACAACCAATTGATTTATTTTTTTCATTGTATATATATTCATATATATATAAATTATTAATTTTTAATATACTGTATAATATTCAATAATAATACATTGATGATAATTGTTGTATAAATAAATTTCTACAATATTTTTATTAATATATCTACAGTATTAATGCATTACATGTTAAAAACATATATAACAACTAAATGTCATAACTTGTATGATATAATTTTTTTTTGTATATAAGATATGATATATATATATATATTTAAGTTAATATGTTTAGTCAAATAATTATTGACAAAAAAAACATATGTACTGTATTTAATAAAAATATATATAATATGTTTTATCAATTTGTATACAACATTAACAAAAAATATGATCATTTAATAGCCTAACTAACTATTTTTGAGTGACGGTGTGTCGATATTTCATATACCAGTCCATTAAAAATATGGCTATTTTTGATGTGTATGTGTGTTTGTGTGTGTATGTGTATATGTGTGTGTATGTATGTGTTTGCAGGTATGTGTGTATGTATGTATGTATGTGTGTGTGTGTGTGTGTGTGTGTGTGTGTGTGTGTGTGTGTATGTTTGTGTATGTGTGTGTATGTGTGTGTATGTGTGTGTATGTTTGTGTATGTGTGTGTATGTGTGTATATATGTGTGTGTGTATGTATCTATGTATGTATGTGTGTGTATGTATGTGTATGTATGTGTATGTGTGTTGTATTGTATAAGACATTATCATTATAGATAATAGTATAGTAGTATTAGCTAATATCCAGGGGGTGTCAAACAATATATATATACTGTAATATTAACAAAATGTGATATAATTTAAACAACATTAAGACATTATTATTATTATTATTATTATTATTATTTTTGATAGAAAAAAATGTTGATTACCCGTCATATTTATATAAAGTATAATTATATATATATATATATATTATACAATATATTCTATATCTTAATAAAATTATATAATGAATTATATAAGTTATTTATTTTAWATATTAGTTTTATATATTTTTATCAAAAAAATATTTTTTTATTTTCTTTCCTATTAATATTTAAAAAACATTAAAAAATTATTTTTAAAAATCATAAAAAATACAAACAATATATAAATCTATAATAAACTATTGATAAACAATTGATATTTTATTATTACAGTCTATTACAATAACAATTATTATATTATTATATTATATAAAAAAATAGATTAATATTAATTTTTWTATATTATTATTTTGATATATATATATATATATATAT